ATTCAGTCTTGTTGGCACAATCTTTCTTTTGGCAAGCAGCTAGAGGTTAAATCAGATTTAAATCAAAAACTTATCCGATTTAAATTTTTTAAAATCTGATTTACATTTTAAAAATTGTGTTCAATAAAAAAACTGATTTGAATAAAAAAACCAAAATTGAAAAAATCTGATTTAAATTGAAAAATCCAGACTTAATTAGAAATATCAGATTTGAATCAAAAGGCCGATTCATATCAAAAAAATCCCATCAAAATTTTTAAAAAACCCATTTAAATTTTAAAAAATCCCATTTAAATAAAAGAAATCCAACTTACCTGTATTTTTCGCTCTATAACACGCACCCGACCATATCACGCACGTAGTTTTTAGAGGAGGAAAACAAGAAAAAAAATATTCTAAACGAAACAGTGGATGTATGATTTTTGTGGTTAATGCTGTGGCCACAGACATGTGATCTGACGGTGAGTTTGGGGTAGCCCAACGCAAAAATCCTGAGGATCCATGTGGATCCGTGCTTTGTAACCACGTTTTAAGTGGGGAGGGAAGGAAAAGCACTCAAGGGACAAGGAGCACGCGTGGGGTGTGTGGAGAAGGATGCTGCTAATAATGAAGAAGAGGGGTATAAGGGGAGAAGGCTCCTCTCCTCTCCCACTTTGCTCCTTTAAAGCAAGCAGGCTCTGCTTTTCTCCCTCCTCCCCGCTCATCCCCGGCTTAGCGAGCTGAAAAACCTTGCTGCTTTTTAGCGAGCTGAGTGGGGAGGTGAGAGGGACAGAGAGCCTGCTTGCTTTAAAGGAACCAACCGGACAGGAGCCCGCTTTGCTCCTTTAAAGAAGCAGGCTCTCTGTCCCTCTCTCCTCCCCACTCAGCGGCTCTTCTCCCGCTTTGCTGTTTCAAAGCGAGCCACGGAGGAGGGAAGGAAGGGGAACCATGGATCCTCTGCTCACGACTGCAGCAGATCCCCCCCGCCACCCGTAGGCATTCCCTCCATAACACGCACAGACATTTCCCCTTACTTTCTAGGAGGAAAAAAGTGAGTGTTATTATCATGGGAATTGGGGTTGCTTGTGTGTAACCTCCACCTGCTCCAAACTGCGTGAGGCGGTTGGGTTTTCCCCGGCTGAGCAGCCCCCCTTGGGCACGACTGCTTCAGTCGCTGGCAGAATCCGTCAGTGGGCGTTTCCTAAACTTCTTCCAACATAAAAATTCCTTAACGGACAGCCTCCTTCTCGCCTCTCTGCGCGGCAGCCTTCTGCGCAGAGTGGGCGTGCCTATCGATGGTCCTCCACTCTCCTCACTGACCTCACTTGAAGAGTCTTGGAGCCTCCCCTCCGAGGTGCTCTCCAACCCTCCTTTCTTCCTGGTGTCACCTGATTTTCCTTCCCCCGCGGGAGCCCTCTCTCCTCCTGTACTGGTTCCTTCTCCGGCATCATTGGAGAGCCTCACCTCTCTATCTTGCTCCGATGTCAGTTCCCTGACAGTTATGGTGCAAAAAATACGGTAAATCAACAAAATCCCATTTCAATCGAGCAAAAAAATCCAATTTAAATGTTAAAAAACCCAATTTAAATTTTAAAAAACCATTTAAACCCACAAAACCCAAAAAGAAATCCAATTTAAATATTTAAGAATCTAATATAAATGTTTTAAAAGTCCAATTTAAAACAGAATTCAAATTTTAAAATTTTGATTTCATTTTTAATTTTAAAAATTTGCTTTCATAATAATATTGATTTTAAATAATTGCCGGTTCATCTCCCCCCTTCCAGGCGGCGTCACCCGCATGACCGTCTCCCTGGTGGTCATCATGTTCGAGCTGACCGGCGGCCTGGAGTACATTGTCCCCCTCATGGCTGCTACCGTGACCAGCAAGTGGGTGGCCGACGCGGCAGCCGGGCGCCAGGGCATCTACGACTCCCACATCCGCCTCAACGGCTACCCCTTCCTCGAGGCCAAGGAGGAATTCACACACAAGACCCTGGCCGCCGACGCCATGCGCCCCCGCCGACCCGCCGACCCGCCACTGACTGCCCTTCCGCAGGACGCCATGACCTTGGGAGACGTAGAGGGGGTGCTGGGTTCCACCGGCTACAGCGGGTACCCGGTGGTGCTCTCCCGGGAGTCACAGCGCCTGGTGGGCTTCGTGCTACGGAGGGACCTGCTCATCTCCATTGGTGAGGGGTTCGAGAAAGGTTAAGCCTCGCTGGCATTATCCTCTTCCTCTCAGTTTCTGGTCAAGGTCCAGGTTCGAATCTCCATTGGGATCGATTGAAACGCCAGCAAGGCGTTTCCATAAAAGGGGGGAATTTCAGTTGGCTGAGTTTTGCACCCGGACCAATCCTCCTCTCTCTTTCACCCACCTCCAGAAAACGCCCGCCAGACCCAAGAGGGGATTGTGACCTCCTCAATGGTCTCCTTCTCCGACCACTCGCCCCCGCTGCCCCCGAACTCACCGCCCATCCTGAATCTTCGCCCCATCCTCGACCTCAGCCCCTTCACCGTCACTGACCACACACCCATGGAAATTGTGGTGGACATCTTCCGGAAGCTGGGCCTCCGACAGTGCCTGGTGACGCACAATGGGTGAGGCACCAGGTGCAAGACGGGCGTGCAGTGGGTACGAGAGGTGTCAGGTGCAAGACAGGTGCCGGGTGTGAGAGATGATGGGTGTGACACACGCAGGTGTCGGGTGTGAGGGGTGCTGGGTTCAAGATACATCGGTGCTGGATGTGAGGGATGCGAGACACACGGGTGCTGGGTGCAAAAGATGCGGGTGCTGAGTGTGAGAGGTGCCAGGTGCGGGACATGTGAATGCTGGGTGTGAGGGGTGCCCTGTGCTAGACACATGGGTGCTGGGTGCGATATGGACAAGCAGAGGAAGGTTTTTCAGACCAGGGTGGATTGAATTTAAATCAAGTTTATTAAAATTAGTTTTCGCCCACCCTGACCCCAGAATAGGGACCTCGGTGAATACTTGAGTTTGAGAATTACACCACTATTCTCTTCCAAATTAACTGTTCTTTTCTTTTCTAGGAAACTCCTGGGAATCATCACCAAAAAGGATGTTTTGAAACACATCGCACAACTGGCTAATCAGGATCCAGATTCCATCCTTTTCAATTGAAAGCGGATTCGGGAGCCAGGTGCAAATGCCGTCTCCCACATGAACCTCTAGCCAAGATTCCTCTTGTTTTTCTTACGGAAAATCCAGATCAATCAAATGATAATCATGTTTTCTTTCTTTCTTTCTTTTTCTACAAAATTGCACTATGGAAATTTGGCAGAGATTTTGCTTTCACTTGAAGAAGAAGAGACCTAATTGAATTTAGATTTTGGAAGCGAGATTCCGGGAAGGAATAAAGGAAATAAACTGGAAATAGATCTTGACCGCTTTCTCTTTTCATCCATATTCATAATATGGTGCCTTTGCCCTCTTCCAAAATGGCGCCCATGCCTCCTCTGCCACTCTCTGCTCATATTATGGCGCCTTTGCCCTCTTCCAAAATGGCACCCGTGCCTCCTCTGCCCACTTCACGTGGCAATTCCTGCTCATATGGTGCCTTTGTCCTTTTCCAAAGTGGCACCCGTGCCTCCTCTGCCCACTTAGGAACCGCCCTGTTCCAAAAGGGTGACGGTGCCTCTGCCCCCTTCTGAAAATTCCCTCATCTCTTGCTGCTAATCATAATGGTGCCTTTGCTTCAGCTTCAAAAATGGCCCCAGTGCCCTTGTCAAAGATGGCGGGTGTGCCTTCGGCTCTTGAAAGCCTTAGCTTCTGCCCTCACTTCCTTTGCCTGCTGCCCAAAGGGTGCCTTCCCTTTTCCAATATGGCAGTTTGGCCTCATGGAGTTTGCTCTCATGGAGGGGCAGGAGTTCAATAGGAGTAGGTAATAATAATAATAATAACCATAACAATAATAATGATCTTATTATTTATACCCTTATTATTTATTACATCTCTCCCTGTGCCCCTCTACTCAGGTCTGCTGCTGCTTGTTTATAGGTAAAGGGACCCCGGACCGTTAAGTCCAGTTGCAGATGATTCTGTGGTTGTGGCGCTCATCTCGCTCTATGGGCCGAGGGAGCCAGCGTTTGTCCGCAGACAGCTTCCGGGTCATGTGGCCAGCATGACTAAGCCGCTTCTGGTGAACCAGAGCAGCGCACGGAAACGCCGTTTACCTTCCCGCCTGAGCAGTACTTTGCACTTTGACGTGCTTTCGAACTGCGAGGTTGGCAGGAGCAGGGACCGAGCAACGGGAGCTCACCCTGTTGCGGGGATTCGAACCACCGACCTTCTGATCCGCAAGCCCTAGGCTCTGTGGTTTAACCCATGCATCCCATGCTGCTTGTTTATGATTATGTATTTGTACATATTGAATTACAGTAATATAAAATGATTATGATTATTATATCATAGTATATTAAAACTTATTATTTATCATTAAATCTTATGATGACTATTTTATAGTATATTCACATTATTATTATTTATCATTAAATTTTACAATGGTTCTATGATAGTCTATTAAAATTATTACTATTTATTAAATTTTGCAATGATGATATTCACATTATTACTTTGGTAAATTTTATGAAGATTATATTCACCTTGTTATTAAATTTTGCAACAATTATATTAAAATTCTTGTTTTTATTCAATTTTATGATTATATTCACATCATTGTGATTTGTTATTAAATTTTGCAACGATTATGTTAAAATCATTTTTATGAAATTTTATGAAGATTATATTCACCTCATTATGATTCATTCTTAAATTTGTTAATTACACCCTGCCAATTCTATGATCCCACAATAGACCCCTTTGAACTGCCACTCTCCTGGCAGTGGCAAATGCACCTTTGGCTGCGTGCAGAGTGCCATTGCCCAGAGCCACCCCATGGAGGCTCCTCCAGAAAAAGGGAGGAGCTAAGGATGGCTTCCTGATTGGCTGCCCTCTGCACATGCTCCGGTTTGCCCTCACCCAACAAAGCAGGATACAGAAGAAGATTCCCTTTCCATTTATTGCTAGGCCACCCGATCCCTGCAGGTATAAAAATCACAATACGCAAAATGCAGAATATGCAAATACAGAATATGCAAAAATCATTAATGGAAGAAAAACAATCAGCCCTCTTTCCCCCACCCCCACCCCAAAAAAACCCTATTATTATTTATTAACTTTTAGCAAGAACACTAGATATAGATACAGTAGATGATAGATAGATAGATAGATAGATAGATAGATAGATAGATAGATAGAAACTCTACCCATGTAAATGCCAAACTTCCAATTTCAAAGAGAGAAGCTTTGATAAATTACATCCAGAGCGTTCCCCTGATCCAGCTAGCTGATATCTCCCTCCCCAGAAGACGTCAGTGGAGAAACCCAGGTCTTCATCGTGATGCGTCCCAGGACGTCCCAGGACGGTCCTGAGTTCGAGTCCAGCCCGATCTCTAGCAGACTGAGAGAGAGGGAAGGAGTCCCCAAGTTGGAGTTCATCAGTTGGGGGTGGGATCTTAAGGTCATGAGGGCCACCAAGCTTAGTAGCAGGACCTGGGAGGAGGTTCTTGAGGTCTTCTTGGACCACCAACTTCACCTGAATCTCCCCAAGTTTATTTCAAGTGGGAGGAATGCCAGGTTCGGCATTGAGGGAGGAGGAACCAGATCTAAGATGGGAGTTTGTTTTTCTAGAAGGACCTGGGAGAAGGATCTCAAGGTCTTGGTGGACCCTCATCTTCCGGGCTCTTGGGTCCTCAGGACAGGGTGGCCGGACCTGCAGGGGCTGACGGGACTCCAGGTTCTGGAGCTGTTCTGGGCTGGCCAAGTTCTTGAGCAGGTGGTTCTCCCGCTGCAGACGCCCGTTCTTCTCCAGAAGCTCCTGGATCTGGTCCTTCAGGAGGTCCACCTCCTCTCGCACGGCATACACCAGATGGGTCTTCACCAGGTCCTGCCAGGGAGAGATTGGGGTTGAGTCAAGGACAGGAATCTCAACCGGAATGGGGGCGGGGCGGGCGGCAGGGATGGGGGCGGGGCGGGCAGGCGCCGGCCCCCTCAAAGCGACACTCACCAGGGCCTGCTCGATCTTGTCGCCGATGGCTCTCGAATCCGGATCGCTGCAGCAAGACGGGGGAAAGAAGAAGGGAAAGTGGAGTGAGACCCAGATCGGCTCCTTTTCCGAGGTGCACCTGTCTCCCACCTGGATCGAGGGGGAATTTTGAGAGCTGGAAAAAATGGCCACTAAGTGGGGCTCTAACCCGATGTTCTAACCTGGGGGAGGCCACGCCCACCCAAGCACAAGCTCCGCCCACTTGGCCCCAACTGCCAACCTCGTATCTGCATTGCAGTGGATTGGGCTAGATGACCCAGGTATCCCTTCGCTTGGGGGATTCCTGCATTCCAGGGGGTCCCTCGTTGCATGGGGTTGGGCTAGATGACCCTGAGGGCCCCCTTCGCTTGTCCATCATTCTTGGATCGCTACATGCCTGTTTCTCACTCCCTGGCAAGAGATCGGGCTTGGCTGCCAGCAGACGCAGGACTAGAAAAACAGGAAGAGGGTTCGAGAGATGCCAAAACCTCGTGGGCATGTCAAGATTACATAAAGAGGGAGCAAAATATGTTGTGGCTCAGACCACGCCAAAAACCTCCCTTCTAGCACCCTCTCCCAGCCCAACCCCCAAAAAGCAGGAATCCCCCAAGAGAAGGGACACCCAGGGTCATCTAGCCCAATCCCCCGGCAATGCAATTGTACATTTTTATTTTTATGTATTTCATTTAAATATGTATTTCATTATTTTCTTAGGATGTATTGCATTGTGTATTTTTATTTTTTATGTATTTTTAATTCCTTTCTATTTTTATGTATTTTGTCATGTTTTTATTTTTATGCATTTTTATTATATAATTTTTAATGTATTTTTATTTTTACATATTCGTACGTATTTTTTATTTTTAGATGTTTTATTTTACTATTATGGATTTTATTATATATAATTATTTTAATGTATTTTCTTATGCAATAGAAGGGACGCCCAGGGGCATCTAGCCCAAACTCCTGCAATGCAGGAATCTCCATACAAAAGGGACACCCAGGGTTATCCCGACTAACCCCCCAAAAGCAGGCATCTCAGTATAGAAAAACCAAATCCACCTCACACACATACCCAATGCACCAGAACATCAGATAATGCTGGAGCACGGACCTCGAACCCGCCACCTCCTCCTTCTTTCCTGGGAAGAGGAACACGCCGTTCTCTTCTCAGCCTCTCCTGATCCAAATTTCTATTTCTATTTGTATTTCTCCCGGCTTGGCAGGCACCCAGTTCCAGCTGCTGGGCGGATACTGGTCCTGGCAGGACTCCCAGTTCCCTGCTGGCCGGCACGCCAGGACACGAACCCGGGGCGGGAATCTCAGGAATGTCAACATTGAAGCATGAAGCTGGAAGGGGCACCCAGGGTCATCTAGCACAACCCCCTGCCATGCAATTGTGCATTTTTATTTTTATGTATTTTTTAATGTATTTTTATTTTGATGTCTTTTCTAGGAGGGACACCCAGGGTCATCCAGTCTAACCCGCTTCCGACGCTGCAACCCTATGATTTCTTCCTCGGTTTTACGCAAAGACTCAGCCTTGCAGGGATCACCTGGCGAATTCATTTCTGGAATCATGACTGAATAACAACAACAACAACAACAACCCGCCTATCTGGCTGGGTTCCCCGCCTCCCTCGAACCCGACTGTTCTATGATTTCATGATGCTTTGCTTGGGGTTGGACTAGATGACCCCCGGGACCCTCTGAATCTACATTCCCATTCCTCGGGGGATCTTCCAGCTGCTTCTGGGCCCCCGACGTGCGGAGACACGTGCGGCAAGACACGCCCAGACACGCTTACACGACACGTGTCGGCTCGCATGCTTCCTGTTGTTCTGGGGAAGCGCCCGCCCAGCAACGGCCGAGGACGCAGAACCGAGAAGATGGATGGGGCCATCAGTGGTGGTCATCCAGCCCCAAGCCACGTCTCTCAGCTCCAGCACCCAGGAGGACAGGTGGCCCTGGTCTAGGGTGGAACCTAACGCCCCCCCCCTCCCTAACAGCACCCACCTGCGGAAGAACAGCAGGATGGAGAGGAGGGTCGTGTCGGCGGGCTGGTGGAGGTTTTTCTGGCAGACCAGCTGCACCAAGGCTTGGTTGGTGGTGGTCATGGTGAGGTTGCCCCTGGGGCCGCGCTGGTAGCCCCGCCGCGGGCTGTCCTCGGGGCTGGCCAAGGGGTCCAGGCTCCACTCCTCCTCGGAGGAGGTCGACATGGCGCTGGGCAGGACTCAGGAGAGGTGGGGAACTGGTGAGGAACCACCAGTAGAGATAGCAGTGGTCCAGGAGAACTGGTCCCGCTGCTCCCAGCTGTGCGCGCCGGGCCGCAAGGAGCCAACCAGTATATCTCGGAGGGTTCCTGAAGACTTGGCCACCACCAACCCTGCCGAGATGTCCACCACCAAGCTCTTCCACTTGTCCAAGCAGTCCAGCAGCTGCTCCTGAGCAGGAGAGGTCTCCTCTGAGCCAGAAGAACCCAGCGATCTCCTGGGCGCGGCCAACTCTGCCGAGGCGTGCCCGCTTTCCACGCCCCTCCAACCAGCCAACCCGCTGTCTCCGTGATTCGGGAGCTACCTCCTCCTTGCCCCCCACCCCACCACCAAGCCTTCGCCCGAGCTGCCAACAGCTGTCCCTCTGTGGCATCCAGCCAGATCTCGGTGGCGCTGCCCCCTGCTCGCTGGGAGAGGGCGGCCCAAGGGGAGGACCCGGGGGAGCCACCAGCGCCACCGCCGCGCGCGCCACCCAGGGGCAAGGCAGGCAGGACTTGGTGGTTGTGGTGGTCTCTCGGCAGGGTTGGGTGCGCCGGGGAGGTCGCCCTGAAGTCCCCGAAGTAGAGTTCGAGATACCCCAGATAGGCGGGGTATAAAGAAATAAAGAATAATAATAATAATAATAATAATAATAATAATAATAATAATAATAATAATAACAACAACAACAACAACGACGACGACGACGACGACGACGACGACCCTCGAAGCTCTCCTCGCAAATCTCCAAGGAGAGGGTAAAATGGGAGAGTTTATTATTATCAGTTACAGATAGGAAGCCGTGTTGGTCTGCCATAGTCAAAACAAAAAAAAATCCTTCCAGTAGCACCTTAAAGACCAACTAAGTTAGTTCTTGGTATGAGCTTTCGTGTGCATGCACACTTCTTTAAGGTGCTACTTAAGGTGCATGCACGTCTTTAAGGTGCTACTGGAAGGAATTTTTTTTGTTTTTATTATTATCAGTTATTATTATTATTAGTAGTAGTAGTAGTATTAACATCAACATCATCTTCATCATCATCGAAAATCTCTTAGCAAATTTCCAGCTCAAGGAAGGAGAGGATAGAATGGGAGAGTTGGAAATAACCCAAGGGACAGGCGAGACATTTATCCTAGAAGCCGATAAATATCAGTGGCAGACGGTCCGTGGATAGTGCGGTGCAGCGGGTTGAACTATTATTATTTGTGCTTTTTTCTTTTTTTCTTTAAAAAAAAAAATTAGGGCTACTCTCCTTTTCCTACTCCTATTGAAATACTGTACTGCCACTCCATGAGGCCAAACTTAGATTCGCAAAATGTTTGGGGGTATGCGTCCCCCCCAGAAAAAAAATCATCTTCCTCTTCTTCCATTGAAAACGGCACAATTGACAAGAGGATAAAATGCTATCCTAAGCATGACTGACCCATGGGATCCCTGCAACTCCAGCTGAAGCCTCCAGGGAAGCCTCTGGCGCGTGCAGAGCGCCGGTCCCAAGGTCGACTGCGCTGGGCCATGGAGGCTCCTTCCCCCAAAAGGAGGACCTTTGGAAGGAAGAAGGGCGGGGTGCAGAAGGACTTTGGGGTAAGTGGCTGAAGGGGCTTCCCCTGGGCAGGGCCTTCTGCACATGCTCATGGTCGCCCTCGCCTCCTATCATCCCTGGTAAAAAGACTCTGGCAGGCGAGGGAGGAAGTGAGGGCAAAAGGAGTCGTAGTAGCGGATGAGCGAAGCCGGCCCGGCCATCTTCGACGAGGGCAGGCGGAGGTCCATTAAAGCACGGGGGCAACGAAAGGAAAAGAGGAAAGAAGTGATTGCGAAAAGGGGGGGAGTGAAGGCGGCGGCGCCATGTTTGACGAGGGCAAAAGCGCTCTTTTAAACAAAATAGTGTTTTTCTCCTAGGAGAAAAATTTAGGTCATTTACATTTAAAATCTGTTGTCATTTTCTGCAACAAAATAGTGTCCCCCCCACTCCCAGTATGTTTAGCATTAGGGTAGCAGACGCAAACCCCATTTTATTCCTGTATTCACAATGCACTATGTTTTAAGTAAGTTTTTTAAAGATGCTAAACCTCATATGCTCATAATTTCTTAATTTATTTTTTAATATATATTTTAACATTTTTTAATTTTATTTTTTAAGGGTTGGCATGTAACAACCTATTTTTTAATTTTTAGTATTTCTACTTGAGAATCATAGAACTCCTGCTGAAAGATGGCCACACCCAATTCTATCTATAAAATATTTTTCTAAAAAAAAAAAGCCTTGCAGGGGGTCAGACTGGATGACCCTTGGGGGTCCCAACAGGTCCAGACTGCATACAACTCCGCATTCTTGCTTTTTATTCCCCCCCCCCCAACAAAAATATGAAATCATTTAAAATTCATTTGATGAGAAGGTCACAAATGAAGCATTGATTTGTGAGCTGCCCTGAGACCTCCGGGTATATAAATTCTAATGATTATTATTATTGCAAGGCTGAATCCTTCTGCAAAAAAGAGGGGGATTTAAATCAATGGGGTTTAAATCAAACCTGTCTTGCTCACCCTCATTTCATCATTATCAGTTTATGTCTTCCAGGTTGGTCAAGATGAAGGGGATACCAGCAAGGCTGAACCTTTGTGTGTAAAAGGGGGAAGAAATCAGTGTCGGAAGGGGGGTTGGTCTGGATGACCCTGGGTGTACCTTCCAGCTCCATGCTTATGTGCTGAGATTCCTGAGATTCCCGCCCCGGGTTCATGTCCTGGTGTCAGTCAATAAAAAATGTAAAAATGATAATACATTCTCAAACATGTAATCAAATAAATGCATGATAAAATACACAAAAAATAAAATGAAATATATAAAAAATAAAAAATACATAATAAAACATGTAAAAAGAAGAATACATTCTAAAATAGGGGATGCCAGTGAGGCTGAGGGGGAAGGAACTGTCACCTTGCAGCATTGGAAGTGGGGTTGGTCTGGATTACCCTCAGGGGTCCCTTCCTTCTCCCCACAATGCCTCTCCTTCTTTGCCGAGGGACAAAGACCTCTCTACCCTCCTGCTGGAGGATCTATGGTCCTCATTGTTCGGATGTTCTCCATTCTCCATTGTTGGGAATAGACAAAGAGGGTCTTGTTTTTCCCCCTGGGCAGCTCCGCCAGCCAGCTCCTCTCCGCGCCAGCCCTGCCAGGCGGCCCCCGACTCCTGAAGGAGGCCATAGAGGGCCAAAGGCATCCCTCGCGTCACCTGCTGGGAGAACTAGGCCAAACTGGGGAGGGTGGAAGGATAGGATATAGAAGAATAGAATCTTCTTCTTCTCCTCCTCCTCCTCCTCCCTTTAACGGTGATTCCGTAAGGGACTGTGGAGGCCAATTCTGGATCCGCACCTCCTTCCACAATGGAGTTTCCCAGTGAAGGTTCCTTCCTCTTCGCCCGTTTCTCCCTCACGTCCCGAGTTCAAGTGTCTTCAAAGCCCATGACTCCTTTGGTCAAGGCGGTTCTCCAATAGAATAATATACCTTATTGGCCCAGATAGAAGCCCTATTTTCCTCTGAGATAGGCGAGATCCCTTCAGGTATCCATATTTCCTGGAGAAGTCTCTGATTTAAAGAAGCCATCCCAGTTTCCAATCACCTTCCTATTGACAAATCCTTTTTTTCATTACGCAAAGACTCGGCCATGCTGGCATCACCTTCCTATTGACCAATCTGGGAAATTCATTTCTGGAATAGTAACTTATTTACTTCTGCTCTTAGGAAGACATCGACCGATCACAATGAAATTGTGGTGAGAAGGGCAGATTCTTCACTGTTTTTCTAGAAAACCAGGTGTCCCCTATCTTAGATCTGGTAACTCCTACCTCAGTGCAGACCCTGACCTTCCTCCTTCTTGAAATTCAATTGGTGAGACTGATGTGAGGCTGGCAGTCCACCAAGACCCAGACCCAGATGTCAACCACCCTTCTGTTGCTCCACTTGATTCTCCAGAACCTGACCTTAGTCCCTCTTGAAACCCATTGGGTTGGACTCAGGTGAAGATGGAGGACCACCAAGACCCTGAGAACCTTCCTCTTTGCCCTGCTAGCAAGTTGGTGGTCCACCGAGACCCTGAGTCCACCCTCAGAATCCATGTGATCCTCCCTAAATGCAGGACCTGGCCTTTGTCCCTCTTAAAATACATTGAGTTGTACTCATGTGAAGACGGAGCTCCACCAAGCCCCTGAGAACCTTCTCCCATATCCTGGTGGCCATCTGGTGGTCCACCAAGACCCTGAGGTCCACCATTCTTCTATTGGTCCACCTAATTCTCCATAACGGCAGAACCTGACCTTTGTTCCTTTTGAAATCCTTTGGGTTGGACTCAGGTGAAGATGGGGGGAGGGGTCTACCAAGACCCTGAGATCCTTCTCCTTTGCCCTGCTAGCAAAAGTTGGTGGTCCACAGAGACCATGAGCCACGGGTCCTCTATCCTGAGCTCAGAACTTTCCACCAAAGCTGGAAGCTCCCACAGGTCTTAGGACTTTCCATCAAGCAGATCTTGTCCATCTCAGAGTTAACAGGGAGGAGAAGGAGCAGGAGGAGACAGGGCCGGCTTCTCCTTTAAGGGGCATGGCTCTACACAACAGATCCCTTTTTCTTTGGAGGATCTGAGGGGGCAGAGAGAAATCCAGCGAAGTGAGGAGGAGGAGAAGAAGACCGGGTTGTCCTAGCTGAAGAAGAGACCAGTTGCACTCCACCTGAACCCCAAGGCGATGGGTGAGTTGGACCAGGGGAAAATTTATCAGTACTGTATCTCCATCACCCATTAATTTGGCCATGGCGGATCTCAGGGATTTGGGAAGCCGTCCCGGGTTCTGATCTCACCCCGGACTGTCCCACTTGTCCTGAGACCTCTGAAAAGTGATGTGTTTCTGGGGTGAGAAAGAGGACCTCCCTATTTTCACCAGAGACATATTGGGGGGCTGGAAGAAGGGGGGTCTGTATCTTCATTTTAGGGGATAGAAGAGGAGGTCTGTATTTTCATTTTAGGAGATGGAATAGGAGATCTGTATTTTCACTGGAGAAATATTTGGGGGACAGAATTGGGGGTCTCTATTTTCATTTTAGGGGATAGAATAGCAGGTCCGCATTTTCACAAGAGAAATGCTGGAGGGATGGAAGAAAAGGACCCCCCCCCCATTTTCACCAGAGAAATATTTGGGGGATAGAACAAGGGGAATATTTGGGGTTTAGAAAATAAATTTTCATTTTAGGGGGTAGAATTGGAGGTCTGTATTCTCACAAGAGAAATATTGGGTAGGTGGGCTAGATCCCTCCAGCTCCTCACCTCCCTTTCACAGCGACCTGGCCAGGTAGGTCTCTCGGCTGAGAAGGGAGGGGTTCGAACCCAGGACACCAACTGCTACACAGCCAGAGAGTTGGAGCTGTAGCCAGCCAGAGGGAATGGGACCCAGGAGATCGGCTCGGCAGTCAAAGGGACCCTGAGATTCACCCAGGCCTGGGGAAAAACCGGAAAATTGGGGGGAACCAGTTTTTCCCCCTTTTCTCCCCAAAGCCACTTCCCCCCTAAAAAACTGAAGGGAAAAAAGAGTGTGGAATATTAAAACTATCAAACTGGTTTTTATTTCCAATTTTCCTGGTTTTATCCCAGGCCTTCCCATCTGTGCCATATATACAGAGTAAAAAACAATGCTCCTGTGAAATAAAGCTGTCCATTAATGGGCCCCCGAAAATCCTAACAACCCACGTTTCTTTTCACAAAACTGCCCTGAGATTCCCGGGTCAGACTGGATGACCACCGGGATCCCTTTCAGTTCTGGTGTTTTCTGTACCAGCCGGGACCACTCTCTGGGAGGCGGCATGAAGGAGAGCATTGTTTCAAACTCATAGCCCATCCCTCATTGTCCATTGTCTTCGGGACAATAGGAGCCTTTTTATCTCTGCGCTCTGCTTCGTCCCACATCCCCTCCACCCATCCCCCCCCCCCCAGATGAAGAGGCGAGGAATGGTCCAGTTAGAGTCCTGGGAAGAGGGCCCCGGTTCAAATCCTCAAAACCTTCCTGGCAGGATGAAAATAAAGACCCCCAATTCTATTCCCCAAATATTTATCCGGTGAGAATCCCCTAAAATGAAATTAGAGACCTCTTATTCCATATTTTCATTTTAGGGAATTTTGTTTCCCATAATTCCTGGCAGAAATTTAAAAAAGTTTAAGAGAGTTTTTATGGGGAGTTGCTGCCAAGATTTTAATCGCAAAAGGTGGGAAGGGAGAGGATATCACAATCAAATCAGGCTAGCAAAGTCAATTAAACCAACCAACCAACCAACCAACCAACCAACCAAATAAACAAATAAATAAATAAATTTAAATAAATTAAGAGAGGATGTTGAACTAGCGAGACCATCAGCAAGGTGACAGACAAAAAATTTACCAGAGAATGGGAAATATACAGAGTCTGCGTAAAAGAACATGTTCAAAATATCAGGTTTCAACTGAGCTGTTTGTAAAAAGGAGAACCTTATCAAATAAGGTTTGATATAAGGTGAAATAAAAGGAGAAGAAATAAAGTTGTGCATATTTAAAGAACCTAATTTGGGAACATAATGGGAAGATCAAAGGTCACGTTAATTAATGTACAAGACAAGTATCCATTCAGAAATGTAGGATTTAAAAAAAAATTTCTATCTTGTCTTTTACATTTCTTGATTATTTCTCTTATACAGTTTTTAAACCAATAAATCATTAAAAAAAATATTGATTTTAGGGGATGGAATAGGATGTCTCTATTTCCATTTTAGGGGATGGAATAGTTCTCTATGTTCATTTTAGAAGATAGAACGGGAGGTCTGTCTTTTCACCAGCGGAAGATTGGGGGGATAGAATTGGGGAGGTCCCTATTTTCACCCGGCCAGGTAGGTCTCGGGGATTTGAACCCGAGGCCCTCTTCCCAGGACTCTAACTGAACCATTCCTCACCATCCCTGGGGTGGGATGGGGGGCAATGTGGGACGGAGAGATCAAGGCTCCATTGTCCCAAGGACAATGGACAATTGAGGATGAGCTGAGAGTTCGAATCCAAACCTGACACTGTTACTGGCATCTCAGAGCTGCTTGTTCCCAGCAGAGATAAAGCAGAACATTGGACCAATTGACCGTCGGGGTCAAATCTAGATTTCTGCTCCTATTTTGAAATTCCTGCCGATTCAACGACCCTCGGGGCGGGGGGGGGGGTCTCAGCATTCCAGGAAACCCAGCCAGATGGGTGGCGTATAAATAACAAATTATTATTATTATTATTATTATTATTATTGGAGAGGAAGGAGCCACAGGGAGGCCTGCCCGTCCTGCTGACCCTTGTATTTTTCGCAATGTAGATAATGTTAGCGGCGGGCCTGAACCCCAACCAACCACGGCTCCGCAGAACTCGAACCCGGATCCAGTTCCCCGAGCCGGTTCTCCAGGTAGCCATCTGAAGCCTGAGAAACCCAGAGCCTGCCTAGCAGGGCTGGGTTGCCCTCCGATGCGAGGCCACGTTGAGATTCCCGCCTTTCAGGGGTGGGACTGAATGAATAAATAATAATAATAATAATAATAATAATAATAGTAATAATAATGTTTAACCACATCAGTTAATGTGGATACATATGCTATCATGTTATTGTTTTAGTGAAATAAATGGTTTAAATTGTTATGATGGTTTTTCTCCCAACAATAAAATGCAACAGAAAAGTGGTCCCAATAGAATTTCTTAAACCTCACCAGAATTTCATCATTATCGGTCTATGTATTTCTAATAATAGAACCAAATCAGTCATTTTTGATGCACGTGTAAAAACGAATTTATGATTCCCAAAAGGAAACCTTCCTCTGGTGGTCAATATTCAGAGGATGCCAGAAAGGCTGAACCCTTCCTGTAAAAAAAGGATTTCAATCAAGTCTTACTGACTAGTGATTTAAATTGTGATTTAAATCGTGACTGAAATTGATTTGATTTCAAATCAAATCCACCCTGCTGCGAAGCAAGTCGAAAAGACTTTCCTTACCGATTCCAAGGTCCGGTGAATGCGTTTCAGGGGATTGAGGTTTGAAGCGGCCCTCAGCTCCTGAAGGTAACAGGGCCCTTTATATGTCCAGCTGTCCTTTGTCCACAACAAATTGCTACTTTTGTTGTTGTTGAATAAATGCTATATGGTAATTGATGGAACTCATAGGTATCTCAAGCCATTTGCACATGTTGCCAGACAACCAGTCCATACAGAATGTCAGCACCCTATATATAGAAATGAGCAAAGCAGTGATAGTTTGAGTAGCAGGGGAGCAGGGGGGGCCTATGACTTACATCATAGGAGCCTACACAACACAAAACACGGTTGCTGTATGACGGTTTTATTTGTTTTTTATCTTCTCTTTTGGACATGTACATCCAGGTTTTCCCCCCTTTGAATTTTTTGGAGGACCCCCAAGAGAGGGGGGGCGCCAAGCTACGGCTTGTTGAGCTTAGACATAAATCTGGCACTGGCACCGCCAGTAATTCGATGCTGAGATTCCTGCCTAGCTGGACTGGATGATAGCGATAGGGATAGGGGTTAGGCAACTCTTCCTCAATAGGTTTCTATCCTTCTCTCCTTCCTTCTTCCTGCCCCCTTACAGGTCTGTTAGAGTGCTGTGCCCGCTGCCTGGTGGGGGCGCCCTTCGCCTCGCTGGTGGCCACGGCCCTGTGCTTCCTGGGGGTGGCGCTCTTCTGCGGCTGTGGCCACGAAGCCCTGACCGGCACCGAGCACCTGATCGAGACCTACTTCTCCAAAAACTACCAGGATTACGAGTACCTGGTCGATGTGTAAGCACCTCCCGACGTTCCTTTTCTTCGCCTTCATTCCCTCGTCCGTTCCCCTGTTCATTTACCGATACATTCTCCCATTCATATTCTGCAATCCGTTTTTCACTGCATGTCTACATCAAGTTAAACCGCGACCACACAATCCATCTTCTATCAGAATAATATTCTGCAGTCCTTTTCCAACCGTATATCCCTCCTAGCTCTGGTGGGGGGTCAGAGTGGATGACCCTCAGGGTGCCTCCACTGTACCAATGGCCCCCCCTCTCTTTTCTCCCCCACAGGATCCACGATTTCCAGTACGCCATCTATGGGGTGGCCGGCTTCTTCTTCCTCTTTGGTGCCCTCCTGCTGGCTGAAGGCTTCTACACCACTGGCGCTGTCCGGCAGGTCTTCGGCGACTACCGGGCCACTGTCTGCGGCAAGGGCCTGGGCGCCACGGTAGGCCACAAGGGGAGGGGGCCCCGAGGACACCGGCCCGGCCGCTCCTGGGAGCTGGTGTGTCACTGTGTGGGAAAATGGCTGGGCCATCCTGATAAGGTGATCTTCTCCTCTTTCGCACCCAGCGCTGCTGCCGTTCGAACCCGGGGCATGAGACTGCTGACGGTGGGGGGCGTTAAGGAGCGTATGACCAGGATATATTGAATAAGTCTTGTCCTTCCTTCCTCTGGTTGTCCATATTAAGAGGAGGCAGCAAGGCTGATCCTTTCTGTAAAGAAAGGATTTTATCCTTCCAAAATGGAAACCTTCCTCTGCTTGATTTTAGGTGCAGTAATTGGGAATGGCTTTACTTACTAGTTCCAAGGTCCTTGGCCAAAAAGGAGGAAATTCCACGTCTAAGGAATCCAGCAGGACACTTTTAACCCCTTCCTGCCTTTGGGCCTCCATCCCGGAAGGACACTCCTGGCACCAAGGGACTCGCACTTGTGACACATAGTGCCATCAGAAAACCACCTGCTGTGCCTATGGAGGGCCCCCCCCCCAATCCCGGGCCGTCCGAATATTCCTGCTTTCCCAGTCCCAGATTTGACTTATGAGGGGTTGAAGAAGAGGTCGCTATTTTCTATGGGACAGAATAGGCGGTCTGTATTTTAATCAGATTAATACTTGTGGGATGGAATAGATGGATGGATTTGTGGGAATTTGTGGGATGGAATAGAAGATCCCTATTTCATTAGATGAAATATTTGGGTGATGGAATATGAGATCCCTGTTTTAATCAGATAAATATTTGTGGGATGAAAGAGGTTTCTGTTTTCATTTTAGTGGATAGAATAGGAGGTCTCTATTTCCATTTTAGGAGATGGAATAGGAGGTCTCCATCTTCACCTGAGAATTACCCAAATATAAGCCGCCCCTGAAAATAGGATTTTAATGGATCATCTGCCCACCCCTCGTGGGAATATCTGGAGGAAAGGTCCAAGTGGCTGGGAGTTCCTCAGGACCCAAAGGTCTCCAGTCTCATGCCCCGTCCTCTGGAAGCTCCTGGCGAATCACTGACTCTTGTTTCTTCTCCCTCCTTTCAGTTCGTGGGCATCACCTATGTCCTGACCGTCCTCTGGCTCCTGGTCCTGGCCTGCTCGGCCGTCCCTGTCTATGTCTACTTCACGGCCTGGACCACCTGTAATTCCATAGCCAACCCTACCAAGACGGCCGCCGGCATCGGGAACCTCTGCACAGATGCCCGGATGTATGGTGAGGAAGAACCTAGTTTCCTGGGCCACCTTGGGGAGGAAGAATTTCATGAGGGGTCTCCCAGGAAGAAGGTTCTCAAGGTCCTGGTGGAATAGGACATGGAGAAGGTTCTTGAGGTCTTGTTGGAACACCAAGTTGGTAGCAGGACCTGAGAGAATCTCAAGGTCCTGGGGGAGCCCCATCTTCCCACAAGTCTCACCCAATGAATTTCCAGAGGGATGAAGGTCAGGAAGGATCTTGCGAGTCTTGGTAGACCAGCAGCTTGCCATCAGGAGCTTGGAGAAGGAACTCAGGAAGCTTGGTGGTCCTCCAACGTCACATGAGTTAACCCAAGGGATTTTCAAGGGCGGGGGGAAGGTCAGGTCCTGCCTTTAGGGAGAATCCTATGGACCCTGATGGTGGGCTCAGGGTCTTTGTAGACCACCAACTTGTTATCAGGATCTGGGAGGATGTTCTCAGGGTCTTGGTGGGCCTCCATCTTCACATTTCAAGAGGGGCCAAGGAGGTGGGGTGAGGTGGCCCTTCAGCTCTCAACTGTTCTGTGTTTTGGTGCCCCACCACAGGTGTCCTGCCGTGGAATGCCTCCCCGGGAAGAGTGTGTGGCCAGAGCCTTCTCTCCATCTGCAAGACATCCGAGGTGAGTTCTCAGTAGTCAAGACTAGAGGACTTTCATGTTCCTTTCTACCATTCTGTTTCTATGTTGAGTTCCTTCAATGGGTGACCCATTCTCCTCCTCCTCGTCCTCCCTCTTCTCCTCATCCTACAGTTCCAGATGACGTTCCACCTGTTCATCGCGGCCTTCGTGGGAGCGGCAATCACCTTGGTGGCTCTGGTAAGGACAGCTTCCCACAACTCTTCATCTCTGGGTGGAGGGTTTGAACCACACGTGGGGCAAAGGATGGGATGGAGGTCTCCAGCAGAACCATGGAAAATCAGCAGGACTCAGATGCTGACTCCTTCCGATGGTCCTGGGAGGAGACCTGCCGAGCTGTCAGGGAAACCAGGAGGAATGGGCAGCAGACCATGGTTGATGGTCTTCAAAACTGCTGAGATATCAGGGGAACCAGGAGGAATGGGTTTTAGCAATTCTGCTTCTGTTCCCCTTCCTCCGTAGGTGACGTTCATCATTGCGGCCACCTACAACTTCGCCGTCCTGAGGCTGATGGGCCGGGGAACAAAATTCTAACCTGGCACCCGCCCGGGCCGAGAGACTCCCTCCCTCCCTCTTCATAATAATAATAACAATCGGTATTATTTTCACCCTGGACTGGTCTTCTAACCGCGAGGCTCTAACCAGGCGGCTGCCGACCTCCTGCTCTAACTGCCCGCCAGCCAATCGGCTCATCCCCATTTGCCGGGGTTGGACTAGATGACCCCGGGGTCCCTTTTCAAAAGCAACCATGATTCTATGATCTCACTCGACCCAGCCAGACCCAAAAATGGGATTATTCCCAGTCCGGGGATTTCGTCGGCGCAGGAAACCGATGTCGGAGCGAGAGAGAGGAGGTCCTCCAACCTGTTAGTCCTGCTTTTCGGAGGAAAAATCACTCCAGCCCCTTGAAGATCCTTTTTTTGGAAAAAAATAACTGCAGTTTTATGCTCCAAACGGCGGGAAATCATTCAATGGGATGACACCATTTTTTTGTAAGAGGCTAATAAAAACATATATATATATATATATATAATGTGAAAACCGACTGTTCTTAACACGGCGTGCGGAAAGCTGAGATAACGAAGGATAATGTCGAAAATAAATAACGAAGGATAATATTGAAATAAAAACGAAGGGTGAATTTCACGAGAAGAGCTTGTCGGTTTTTTAATGCTTCACTTTGTTTCAGTGGGGAAATGGGACGAAACTATCATATTGCCTTAAATAAAAGCCTTCCTTTTCCCCCAAATTCTGACCGGAAAAAGTTAAAAGCGTGGCTTATATTCAGGCCAATACAGTACCGATCCAACAATCCGTCAAACGCAACAAAGAAAATGCAATGATTACATTTCCGGCAACAAGGATATTACAATTCTGGTTTCCTTGGTTCGAAATAAAGGGAGGAAAATCATACTGATATACCGTATTTTTCGCTCTATAAGATACACTTTTTTCCCTCCTAAAAAGTAAGGGGAAATGTGTGTGTGTCTTATGGAGCGAATGCAGGCTGCGCGGCTATCCCAGAAGCCAGAACACCGAAAGGGAGCGCTGCGCTGCTGTTCTAGCTTCTGGCTTAGCCCCTCAGTCCCTTCCCCCACCTCCCGGAAAAGCCCACAAGAGCCGCGCTCCCTTAAAGAGCTCTTGGGGGCTTTTCGCCGAGGAGGGAGAAGGGCAGCCTGCTTTTCCTAGGGGAAAAGCCTGCAAGCGCCGCACACACGCTCCATGAAAGGGAGTGCTGAGCAGCCTGGGATGCTTACAGGCTCTGCTCAGCGCTCCCTTTAAAGAATATTTTTTCCCTTGCATTCCCCCTCTAAAAACTGGGTGCGTCTTATGGTCAGGTGCATCTTATGGAACGAAAAATACGGTGAATATGCGCATATATATGTATACATACACACACAGTGGTACCTCAGGTTACATACACTTCAGGTTACAGACTCCGCTAACTCAGAATTAGTACCTCAGGTTAAGAACTTTGCTTCAGGATGAGAACAGAAATCGAGCAGCAGCAGCGCAGTGGCAGCAGGAGGCCCCATTAGCTAAAGTGATGCTTCAGGTTAAGAACAGTTTCAGGTTAAGAATGGACCTCCAGAACGAATTAAGTTCGTAACCAGAGGACCACTGTATATACATATATGATAGCTTATATAATATAGATATACTGCATTTTTTGCTCTATAAGACTCACTTTTCCCCTCCTAAAAAGTAAGGGGAATGTGTGTGCGTCTTATGGAGCGAATGCAGGCTGCGCAGCTATCCCAGAAGCCAGAACAGTAAGAGGAATTGCTGCTTTCGCTGCACAGCGATCCCTCTTGCTGTTCTGGGATTCAGAATATTTTTTTTCTTGTTTTCCTCCTCCAAAAACTAGGTGCGTCTTGTGGTCTGGTGTGTCTTATAGAGCGAAAAATACGGTATATATCCATATTTATATTTTTATATATGTATTATGATCCATCTGTGTCTGTCTCTGTTTCTCTCTGTGTGTTTTAAAATATTCCTCATGAAATCAACCTTCATTCCAATTACCGTACATTTCCAACAGCGGGGATGATGATGATGATAACAACTTTTATTCTTTATACACCACCCATCTGGCTGGGTTTCCCCAGCCACTCTGGGCAGCTTTCAACAGAACAGAAATAAAATTATTATTAATAATTTTTAGAGAATTGGCCCCCACCCTTCTTTTCTATGGTGGAAATAGGGACAGCCCAATCTGTCCCATGACATTTTTAGGGCCCCTCGAGTGTCATGCAGTCCAGCCACTTGCAATAAAATAATAATAATAGTAATAATAACAACAACAGCCCTATCCCTAATAATAATAGTGGTAGTAGTAGTAGTGATAGTAGTCTGGGCAGCTTTCAACAGAACAGAAATAAAATTATTATTATTATTATTATTATTATTATTATTATTATTATTATGGGAAATGGCACTGGAGCCCCTTCCAACTCTATCTGGCTTCCAGCAAAATACTTTTATTTTATTTATATTTTATTATATATATTTTATATTTTATTATATTATATTATTTCTATACCGCCCTATACCCGAAGGTCTCATGAATACAATAACTCATCAAATATAAAGAGCTTCCCTATCTCAAGTAAATCGTAGAAGAGGAAGAAACTACAACTCGCAGCATGCCAAGCTGCCATCCACCCCCACCCCCTGAAAATGAAGCAATAGAGGAGATTTTGGGCTTTTAAATAAGAGTTTATTATTCATTCGTCCATCATCAGGAGTTGAACCTGGAACTGGAGGTGGGGAACAGGAGCTTCAGGAGTCTATAATTCCCAACTGGGCGCCCGAGGGCGAAGGGTTGAAATAAACAGGATTTTTTCTGAGTGGGGAGAACTGTAGCAGCAATTCCCCCCTCTGAAATGAACAGGACACATCCGATATTAACCCGCAGGTTAATATTTTTTTCATTTAAAGCACACTAGAATTCCCATACTGCCACCCGGGATCTGAGACCAGAATCCGAAAAAATTGGGGTTATTTTTTTGGGGGGGGGGGAAGGGGAATAATGGGAATCGAAAGTTGAGATCGGATGAAATGAATAGATGCGAAGACAGGGAATCCAAGCTCAAAATTAAGTGTATTTTTGAATGGGGTTTAGGGGAGTTGTAGTGCCGCCGGGCACCTGCATCCGAGCTCAAAATTAAGTGTATTTGGGGGGGCGATAGGAGACAGAACGAAATGAATGGGGTTTAGGAGAGTTGTGGCACCACTGGGCACCTGGGGGAATTCTAGCACCAACACCAGGGACCCCGATTCCCCCCAAAAGTTGTTTTTTTGTGGGGAAGGAAACTAGCATGGAGTACGAGAAAAGAGGGGAACGAATGGGATTTGGGGCTGGGAGTGATAGCTTTAAAACCCCAAATCAAGGGGCAGGGAATTGTAGCGCTGACACCAAGTAATTGGATTGCCCCATCGGATATGAACAATAAATACCCCATTTTAAATTGTGTTTTAAATTCCGGCTGCCAGGCACCCCCAATTCAAAGAATTTCGGGAAGTGAAAGGACCAGAGAAACGAGTGGATAGAATGAGCCCCAAATTAGACCCGCGCTAGAATTCCCACCCACCAGCGCCCCAAACTGAAAAAGGGGGAATCGTGGGATAAAGCCAACTCAGCACTCTGTACATGCACAGAGGACTGATTTTCCCCAAAGGGAATTTGTGCGCCAGGGTCGGGAACTATAGCGGGACGTGGCTGAACAGGTAGGAGACGGACTCGCCGTTGTGGGTGCGGCGGATAGCTTCAGCCAGGATCATGGAGATGTCAATCACCTAGGGGGGGAAGAGAGGGAGAGGCAGGGTTAACTGGGCACCAGGAGTTTTATGAATGAATTTGCGTCAGCCCTTGGCCATAGCAATAAAACAAGATGAATGAATGAATAAATCTTCACCTGCCAGTCAAGCTTTGAATGAATGAATGAATGAATCAATCAATCAATCAATCAATCAATCTTCACCTGTCAGTCAATCTGTGAATGACTGAATCGTGATTTGTGCCAGCCCTCTGCCATCACAATAAAACAACAAGACGATAGACAAAGAATAGAAATGCGATGAGGCGAGGTGGAGCGAGGAAGGGGCCAAATAATCTGGGACAGGCCATAGAGATAATAATAATAATAATAATAATAATAATAATAATAATAATAATAATAATAAATGACAGTGGAAGGTGTGAGAATGATCAGAAACGTGCCAGAGAGATGATAATAAAATGATAATAATAATATTAGTAATAATAGATGACGATGGAAGGTGTGAGAACGATCAGAAACGTGTCACAGAAATAATAACAATAACAATACTAATAATAAATGATGACAATGGAAGGTGTGAGAATGATCAGAAAGTTGCCAGAGATGATGATAACAACAATAATAACAACAACAACTGAGGATGTTGATGGAAGGTATGAGAATGATCAGAAACGTGCCAGAGAGATAATAACAATAATAATCCCCCCTACCTGGATTTTGGGGCAGTGCTTCATCTTCTCCTCCTGCGGGATGGTGTTAGTGACAACGACGGCCTCAAACCCTGCACCGTTAATCCGGGAGATGGCCGGGCCGGAGAAGATGCCGTGCGTCAGGATGGCGTAGACCCGGGTGGCACCCGCCGAGAGGAGCCTGCGGGGGAAAGCGGGTTGGGCTGGATGACCACAGGGGTTGCCTTCCAAGCAGGGTGGGTAAAAATCAATGATTTTTTGAAATAATAATAACAACAATAATAATCTGATTTTTTAAATTTAAATCTGATTGTTTTCAAACATTTAAATCAGATTGTTTAAACATTTAAATCAGATTGTTAAAATTTAAATTGGATTTTAAAAAAATTTAATTGGACTTCCCCCCACTTAAATTGGATTTTTAAAATTTTAAATCAGATTTTTAAAAATTTAAATCGGATTTCCCCCCACTTAAATCAGACTCACTTGTCCGCGGCGTGGCAGATTGTCCCGCAGGTGTCGGCCATGTCATCCACCAAGATGGCTGCCCGGTCTTTGACGTCGCCCACCAGGACCATGCGGTCGACCTCGCTGGCCTTCTTGCGCTCCTTGTGGATGAGGGCAAAGTCGACGTTTAGGCGGTCAGCGATTGATGTCACCCTGGGAGAAGGAGGTTCTAGGTTGAGATGTCTTGATTTAAAATCCTTTTTTTTTATTATTAAAATCCCTTTTTATGAAAAGGTTCAGCCTTGCTGGCATCCTCTTAATATGGACAAGTGGAAGGAGGTTTCCTTTTTGGAATAATAAAATCCCTTTTTTACAGATAGGTTCAACTTTGCTGGCATCCTACAAATATTGACGAGCAGAGGAAGAGCAGGGTATAAGTAATAAATTGTTGTTGTTATTACTACTACTACTAGTAGTAGTAGTAGAATGGGAGATTAAAAGGATGGAGCAGCTGGGAGGGTCCCCGGGGGGGGGGGGGATCATCCAGTCCAGTAAGTCAGGAATCTCAACGCAGAATCCCCGAATGGTAGAGCTGGAAGGGACCTGTGAGAAATTTTTGGAAATTCTGGGGTCACCTTTTGGCCCCCCCAGCGTCTGGCGAGACGATAGTGCAGTTCTTCCACTCGGCGATGTTCTCCTTGATCCACTTCAGAACAGCCGGCTCGGCATACAGGTTGTCGACGGGGATGTCAAAGAAACCCTGGGCCAGGAAGCAGAAGCAGAAGAATATATTTATAACCCCATCCGTCTGGCTGGGTTTCCCCAGCAACTCTGGGTGGTTCCCAATCATCATCATTATTATTAATCTGATAAAAGCAGTTGGAAAATGGTCAACGTAATAATACTGTAGTGGCCTGAATATAAGACTCACCCCCCAAATTCCGATCGTGAAAAGTTAAAGGGTGGCTTATATTCAGGCCAATATGGTACCATATTGACCTGAATATAAGCCTCACTTTTTCCCTCCAAAAAAGCGCTCAAATATTAACGTAAGTGTTGAATAGTCAAAATATTCAGAAAGTTCACACGTGGCCATGCAGGCTGGACAGGATCAGCCCTGGGGGCCCCACCTGGATCTGAGAGGCATGCAGGTCCATGGTGATGATGTGGTCAGCGCCGGCCACCGAGAGCATGTTGGCGACGAGCTTGGCGGAGATGGGCGCCCGGCTCTGCAATGGAAAGGGGGCCGCTGAATCGGGTGCTGTGCTACAACTCCCATCCTGCTTAGCAGGCAGGTTCCCACCCATAACCCAGCGTAGCTAGCAAGACTCCAACTCCCATCCTGCCCAGCAGCTAGGATCACAACTGCAATCAGCCCTAGCTAGCCAGACTCCAACTCCCAGTATGCCTAGCTCAAAAGACTCCACTCCCCATCCTGCCTAGCAGCCAGGATCCCAGCTACAATCAGGCCTGGGCGGCTTTCCTACAACTCCTATGATGCCTCGCCAGCCGGCCTACAACTCCCATCCTGCCTAGCAGCCAGGATCCCACCTATAACCCAGCCTAGCTACTAGCAAGACTCCTTGCCCATCATACCTAGCAGGCAGGACTCCACTTCCCATCCTGCCTAGCAGCCAGGATCCCCGCTGAAATCCTTCCAGCCTAGCTAGCAAGACTGCAACTCCAATCCTGCCTACCAGGCAGGACTCCAATTCCCATCCTGCTTAGCAGGCAGCATCCCAAGTAGGCTAGCTACCAAGGCTCCAACTCCCATCATGCCTCGCTGGCTGGCCTACAACTCCCAGGGTCCCAGCTATAATCCAGCCTAGCTAGCCAGACTCCAACTCCCAGCATGCCTAGCTCGAAAGACTCCACTTCCCAGAATCCCTAGCAGGCAGGTCTCCAATTCATTCCACCTATAACCCAGCCTAAATAGCAAGACCGGGGCATCGCCGCCCTCAGTCCAGTCAACCCAGCAACTTCACCCCCTCCCAAGTGTGCCATTAATCCCGTCTCCCCGGAAACCTTGTCCTTCTTGTCCTGCCGGGCGTAGGGAAAGCAGGGAATGACGGCTGTCACTCGGCTGGCCGACGCGATCTTGCAGGCGTTGATCATGATCAGCAGCTCCATCAGGTGGTCATTGATCTCGCCGCAGCCGCTCTGGACAATGTAGACGTCCTCGCCGCGCACGCTCTCACCGATCTCCACGCTGCGGAGATTGCATTTCGCCCCATTTTAAATAGATTTTTTTTCCGATTTAAATTGGATATTTTCCATTTAAAAGGGATATTTTCGATTCAAATTAGATGATTTTGATTTAAATTGGCTTTTTTTAAAAAAAACGCTTTCTAAATATTTTCTTTTAAAGTACATTCCAGTCCAAAGGCTATTCAGCAGGAAATTAGGATTTATTATTTTGACGGTTATTTTGGAACCGGTTCAGTTGTAGCCTAGAATTGTTGCTGTGGTGGTGGTGGTTAAGGATAAGGGTTAGAAGTAACAATAGGACTTAGGGCTAGGGATTAGGAATAATAATAATAACATAATATCAGGAAATAAATTTATCATGTGTGCTAAAACACAGTCTTTTTTTAAAAAAATTGTTAAATAACATCAGTTAACAAGCATGGATCCATATACTATCATGTTATTGTTTTAGTGAAATAAATGGTTTTGATTGTTATTAAGGAAACAATTATTTTTCTCCTTCCAATCAATCAAGTTGTCCAAATAGAAACTGTTAACTTAATATAACTCACCAGAATTTCATAATTATCTGTCAGTTTATTTCTAATAGTAGAACCAAATCAGTCATTTTTGATATAACTGTAAAAACGACTCTGAAAATGTATCATTCCTAAATGGAAAACTTCATCTGGTTGTCAATAGGAAGATTATACAAGCAAGAATGAGTGTTTCTGTTAAAAAATGATTTAAATCAAGTCTTACTGACTAGGGATTTAAATCGATTTGTTTTAAATCAAATCCACCCTGCAGAAAACTACAGTTCCCACAGTGATGCCCATCTCTGTCATGGAAAACTACAGTTCCCAGAGTGCTGCCCCCCCCCCCAAATCTCCTGCTTGGAGAACTACAGTTGCGGACATGCCCCCAGTCCCAGAGACGCAGCATTACATCCAGCCTGGAGGAACTACAGCTCCCAGCCTGCCCCGCGCACTCCCCTCAGACCCAATGGCTCCGTGGCCTCGGAAAACTACACTTCCCAGGCTCTTCCGCCACCACGCATACGCCCATCCTACCACGTCCCTTGCGGGAACCACACCTCCCATCATTCCCCGAGCGCTCCCCTCAGACTCATTGGCTCGCTCGTCTCTGAGATCTACCCTTCTCAGCCTGCTCCGCGGCAGCGCATGCGCCAAACCCATCACATACCTCGCACCCAGCATGGAACTACCCTTCCCAGGTTGCCCCGCGGCGGCCAAGCATGCGCACAACCTACCACGTCTCCTGGTTAGAGAACTTCTTGGTGACCACCTTGCCCAGCTCCAGGCCCAGCCGGTCGGCGATCCTCTGCGACAGGTCCTGGTGCGAGGAGCCACTGAAGAGCTTGATGTTGGGCATCCTGCTTGCCAGCGAAGCCGCCGGCGAGAACGACGTGCCCGAGCGCGACGTCGAGGCCTCGCCCACCTCCACCCCGGGGACAGGCCCGCCGCGGGCGGCTCGCCGCTCGCCCTCGGCCGCCTCGCGCCGCTCCAGCAGGCCGAGGAACGCGTCCGGGAGCGCAGGCCGCGCCCGCCGCCTCAGACGACGGAGCCGCACTGCGCTGCCATCTTGGGAGCGGGCCTTTATATCATCTCGGGCGGCGCGCGCAGGCGCGGCTCGCCAAAGGCACGCCCACTCGAGCGAGGGGCGCTTGCGTGAATGCTGAGACAGGCCCACTTTGGAGAGGCGCGCCTGCGCAGAAGCAGAGACGGGCCCGCTTTCGCGAGGGTGAAAAGAGGCGGTGAAAAGGGCCGGGAGGCGGGTGCGCAGAGGGCAAAACACGCCCCTCCGCTAAAAAAGCACGTCTGCGCACACGGCTCCTTGAAACGGAGTCTCCTCAATGGGTCGCCAGGCAACGCGCGCCTCTTCAGCAAGCGAGACACGCCCCCACCGGCGACGGACGCCTGTGCAGAGAGCCTGTTCAGGAGTATCCAGTGCAAGTTTGCGGAGGAGGCGCGTGATTGGTCGACGAGAGTCGAAGGGCAGAAGCTGCCGCCCTGCGCGGCTTCGAGGGGCCTGTGTGCGCACGTGCGGACTCTGTAAACGAGGCAGGCAGCAATCCAACCGGTCAGTTGCAAAGCGCTCAGCTTCCATTTCTTAGGGAGACTTTCCAGGATGGGAAAGTTATTTTCCGGGAAAATAACGGAGGAATAAACCTCACCAGCGCCTTAATTCCCACCAGCGCCTTAATTTATTTATTTAAATAAATAAATTTTATTTATTTATTTATTTATTTATTTATTCATTCATTTATTTATAATAATAATCTATAGCGATCCCTTGACATTCCTTAGTTCTTCTGCAGGACCCCTGCGGAGCGCCAGTGAAAGTGAGAAGAAGCGAAAGGAACTTGCAATATCGGATAGAGCCTTGTCATTTTGTAACCAATTGAGTTATTATTAATAATAATAATAATAATAATAATAATTGTTAGGGTTAGGCATGAGGGTTAGAGATAGGAATTAGAGATAGGCTTGTTGTTATTATTATTTAATAATAATAATAATAATAATAATAACCAGGTTTTTCCAGGCCTTCCCTTCTCTAGGGTTAGGGATAAGGGTTAGAGATAGGGATAGGAGTTAGAGATAGGGTTGTTGTTATTCTTATTACGGATAGGCTTATCATCATTATTATTATTATTATTCTGTTCGGAGCCTCCCAGAGTAGCTGGGGAAACATGGCCAGATTGTGGGAAAATGATTGCTTGTATCAATTGCAGGTATCAATATTTTATTTTATTTATTTATTTGTTTGTTTGTTTATTTATTTCTTATATCCCCACCCTTCTGGCCAGGTTTCCCCAGCCACTCTGGGCGGCTTCCAAGAGAATATCTAAAACATGATAAAACATAAAACCTCCCTTACGATTACATTTCCAGCAACAATGATTTTATGAAATTATTTTATGAAGAATGAAATTATGGTTTCCTTTGTTCGAAATAAATGGATTGATATCGTTCATATATATATATATATATATACACACACACACACACACACATATAATTTGTGTATGTATACACTGCCCATCTGGGCGGCTCCCAATAGAATATTAATAATAATAAATAACCCTATCCAATCCCTATCCCTAACTCCTATCCCTAATAATAATAATAATGCTATTAGTTATACAACGCCCATCGGGCTGGCTTCCCCCCACATTTTTCCAGGGGGCAAAGGCTTAAAAAACCCCACCATAACCCGCTCCCCCAAAACCTGTCCCCTCCCACCCAATTTTCCCGTTTCCCCCCCCAGGCCTTCCCATCTCTAAACCTGAGCCTGCAGAACTCCTGGCTGCAATTCTCGGAAGCTTTCCCAAACCGCCCAGAGATCTTGGGTAGGGATGGGAAAGCCTGCGGGAAACCAGGTTTTTTTCCTTTTTTAAAAAACTGTTTTTTCTTTAAATGGGGCAGGGGATATTCAAACTATGTCAAACTGTTTTTTTCCAATTCCCCTGGGGGGACAGGTTTGGGGGGAAACAGGGAAAAAAAGTTTTTTTCCCAGGCCTCCCTTCTCTAATCTTGGGTGAATTCCTTTATTTTTTAATTTTATGTTATTGTTTCATTGTATCTCATCATTATTAGTGATTATTAGCATTTTTATTATTATCAGTATTTGTATTACATGATTATATGATTATATGATTATTGCTGTTATTTCTATCCCACCCATTTCATAAAGAAATAAAAAATAAATCAAGGAAGAAATATGATGGTTTTGGGGCAACACAGGACAAATAATAATTTTTGTTGTTGTTGTTAAATTCAGGAGCCAAAATGTCCAAACTCCATGGCGTTCTAGATCTGTATTATTTATATCCCACCCATTTCATAAAGAAATAAATCAAGGAAGAATTTTCATGATTATTTTCAGGTAATCCTCTGAACAATAAAATGGATATTGGATATTGGTGGATATTGCTGTTGTTACATTTTTATGTTTATATTATTATTTATTTCCCCCAAATTTCATAAAGAAATAAGAGTCAAGAAAGGACTCGGATTAGGTCCGCTTTTCAAAATTAACATTATTATTAATATTAATATCAATTATTATTGTTTACTACTTAATATTACTTAATATTATTACTTGCTTTGATTAGTTATTTAATAGTCCACATTAATATCATTATATATTAATTTTAACCAACATTATTCTGGATTAATATTAATTGATATCATTGTTTAGGAATAGTCCATATTTTAAAATAAATATTATTATCAATTTTTTTAGGGGGGGAGAGATGTCACAAACACAAGATCGATATGAAGATTTGTGTATTGGCATAAATTTGCATATAAGTTTCACATCTTTCTATATAGACAATCTCAGGTCAAATTTACACAGATATAATTTCCATATATCTATACATATATAGTCTTTATTATGTATAATATATACAGGCATGTAAAAAGGGGGGTTTCTGTGTCCAGAGGGAACCGCAAAGGTCATCCAGCCCAACCCCAGGCAAGGCCACTTCAGTGCCAATCATTGTGGTACCAACCATTGTGGTTGCCAGAGTCATCCAACCATCTCCCAGCTTCCTTCTTTTCCTTCATCCCTCCATATTTCGATTCTTCCTTTGTCCCTACTTCCTTTTCTCTGTCCTTCCTTCCTTCCTTCCTTTGTCTCTCTCTCCCTTTCTGTCCTTCCTTCTTTCCTTCATCCCTCCTTCCTTTTCTCCTCCCTCCCTCCCTCCCTTTCTTTGTCCTTCCTTCCTTTGTCCCTCCCTCCTACCCCATTTCCTTCCTCCCTTCCTCTGTCCTCCCTTCCTTCTTTCCTCCCTCTCTCCACTGGACGGTCCTGTGCCAATTCTTGCAGTGGGTGGGGTCACCCAACCGCATCCCAGCTTTCAGAGCCGAGGAGTTGGACTACATGACCGGGCTCCTGCCAATGGAGCCCAGGGCACTTCAGCCCTCTGCGAGAAAATTGCCGCCCTCCGCCTTCCCCGCAAAACAGCCGCCTCGTCACACTTCCCTGAACGTCCTCTCAGCAAGCCTCACTTTGCCGCCGGTGCTGTCAATGGGCGCACTGGCTCCTCGCCCGCCTGCCTGGCTGCTGACTCCTCCGCCGCCCTTGCCAGGGCGGTGTAGTTCCTCGCCACCTCCTCCACCTGAGCCAGCAGTGCCCGCCGCCGTGCCTCTTTGCCCACCACCGCTGCCGTCTCCGCCAACCGCGCCAGCACCCGGAAGCTCCCGGCGACGGCTGGCAGCAGCCGTGCCGGGCTCTTTTCAGCGCCTGCCACCCGCCGGCAGGCGGCCCTCAGTTCCCGGAAAGCCAGTGCCAGCTCCCGCCGGCCCTCATCTGGCACCGACGCCCCATTCCCTGCCGCTGCTGCACATTGCCGCAGGGCGTCTAGCAGCCGTTCAGCGTCGAGCCTCACCGCCGAGAACCCACCGGGGAAGGCGTACTCCCGCCCGCACAGTTCCCGGATGCGGTCGAGGCCCGATGCTGCCCGCAGGTCAATCTCCTGTGTCCGGGCTGCTGCATCCGGCATTGGCGGCACCGAGTAGCACAGCTCATCGGCTTCGTCGTCACCTCCCCGCGCTGAGAAACAGGAGCGCACTGAGCAGCAGCCCTCTCCACCCGGCCCCAGTTGCCGTGGGCACACGTCATCCGGGAAACGCGGCGCTGGATCACCCTCTTCTGGAACGGCCCCTTCCCCGCTGGCGCGGCGCTGCAGCTTCTCGTAGCGTGGTGCTGCTGCCACCACGCACTCGGTCCCCAGGCAGGAGGCGCTCTTTTCCACATCTCTCGGCTCTGGGCTGGCTGAGCGCACCCGTCGACTCGGGAATCCTTGTGCGACCCGCTGTGGGCAACTCTCTCTCCCTCTGCAGTCCCACCGCGACACACTGGGCGCTGTTGGCACAGGGCTGGTGCCAGGTGGGCAACCACAGCCCCCCGGCGCCGGACCCTTCAGGAGTTGCTCCAGGAACTCCAGTTCAAACTGCTTCACTTTCCGGAGTTGCGTCCGGCGCTCATCTGTCTCCCGTTTGAGCCGTGCTGGGAATGTCGCTGAGAAGAGCTTCCGGAAGCGGAACGCCGGCCGGGGCACCCGCGGCTGCGCCGGGACCTCCAGATCCTCTCCGTGTGGCACCTTGGGTTCGAGATCAGACACTTCCTGGGGTGGGGGAACCATAGTATCTCTCCGGATCCTATCCGCCGGCACCTGGCAGCTCTCTGTCTCCTTCTGGGGACACTCTGGTTCAGGGTTCGAGGGGCAAGGCTGAGCACTGGGACTTGGTTTGGCCTCAGCGAGCCACGCTGGTGAGGACTTCCCAGTCTTCGCCTGCCAAGTGGGCGCCCCACAGCCTCTCAAGCGGAAAGGTAGGTCCTTCTGGACCAGGAAGCCATCCGGGTCGACCCGTTGCGCCAGGAAGTAGGTGGCGTTGGGGGAAGCGTCTGCGTCACGGCCGGAGTCGGGGTCGAGGGCGGCCAGGACGATGAGACCTGGAGAAACCACAAGGGCCGGGAGCATTAGGATGTTGAATAATAATCATACTACTAATAACCCTATCCCTAATCCCTATCCCTAACTCCTGGCCCTATCTTGAACCCCTATCCCTAACCCTAATTATTATTATTATTATCTTATTATTTCTACTCTGCCCACCTGGCTGGGTTTCCCCAGCCACTGTGGGCAGCTCCCAAAACACAACAACAACGATGATGATGATGATAATCATAATCATAATCATCAACAACAATGATAATAATAATGTTGTTGTTGTTGATGATGATGATGATGATAATCCTATCCCTAATCCCTATCCCAAGGGATGGATTCAACTGTAGTGATCAGATGGGATTACCATGAGGAATTATAAAATATGCATCAAGCCATTGTGTCCACGATGAATGCATTGTGTTGACTGGGTTTAATTCATTGACAATAATTTCTGACCAAATCCCACAACCCTCTGCATCTCTGGCCATTTGCTCTACTGCCCATTTCTCTTGCTTGACAAGTCACGTATACAGCCCAGTTGCTTTGCCAGGCATGCATCCTGGGCCATAAAGAGAGTGGGCAAGTTTCTTTGATGTAGCTTTTCTGAAATGTTAATCTCAGGATGTTGATTTTAGGGCCTGGAAACAGATCTCACCTGAAGGTGATAATGATCGCTGTCTTCCTGGCCATCCTTATGTATATTGCTTGTTTATCACCTCCCGGGGTTGCCAGATGCACTCCTTTGTAGTTCTGTTTTGTTTACCCCAGAAATATGTGTGCTTAATTAGTTTTAGTAGTTTAACTTTGTCCCCACATGGGATTTGTTGAAATGCTCAGAAGAAATCTGATTGGTTCTTACGAACACTCTGTAAAAAGTTCTTTTGTGAATAATACGACTTGGGCCGGAGGGTGGAGAGACAGATTATTATACGCACCCTTCCCAGAGTCTTGCTGGTTCAAGCATCTGTGTGTATTCTTATTGATCAGAGTTCAATTCTTCCTTTACTTTGAGAACACCTCACTCGACACCCTCTTCAATACTACTACTACTAATAATAATAATGATATTGATGATGATGTTAATAATAATAATAATAATAATAATAATAATAATAATAATAATAATAATCTATCCCTGGGGGTGGACTTGACACCCTCTTCAATACTAATACTAATATTAATACTACTACTACTAATAATAATAATAACAATAACTCTATCCCTAAACTGGGGGTGGACTTGACACCCTCTTCAATACTACTACTACTACTACTACTACTACTACTAATACTAATACTAATAACCCTATTCCTAATCCCTATTTCAGGGGGTGGGCTCGACGCCCTCTTCAATACCCGTGGCTGACGTCGGTGGTCCATCCTCCGCCTCCGCCAGGGCTTCCAGGGCCTGCAGGGTCGACACCAGTGCCTCGTCGAGATCCTGGGCTCGTTCCCGGACCGTCCGGGACCCCGGCACCACCGCCTCGACGAAGGTCACCGGTAGCTGGCACCCGGCATCCTCACTTGGTGCCGCCCACTGGCGCCGGGTGTCGTCCTCATCAGAGCTATTGTCTCCGAAGCCAGGTGGCGGTGCCGCGATGGCCAGGGCGGTGGTGGGGTCGTCCTCATCGCCCTCGCTGCCCGGCGGTGGCAGCGCCGTCAGGTCCAGGCCAGCACGGCCCAGGCTCCGTCCGGGACCGTCCACCGAGCGGGCTCGGGCGCGCCTGGCACCGCAGCCCTCGCCCTCGGCACCCGGGAGTTTCAGCACTGGATCCGACTTGGTCCTGGGCCGCGTTTCCCCATCTCCAAAGATCCGGTTCTGGTTGAGGTCGGGGCGGCGGCGGCGTGGCAGCTCCGGTGGCATAGCACGGCGGTTGCTGCAGGCACTACGGTTCCCAGCCTCCTTCTCTCTGCCTGGAAAAGGAGAGACCGGAGGGTGAGGATGGTTGCCAGGGAAGGTGTGTTGTATAGTCCAACCCTCTTGACCCGCAATGGTCTTGACCCTCTTGACCCGTGATTGGCCTGATTCAAACCTGACACCTCCTGCGTGTCCGTAGGGCATTCAGATTTTCTGCACCTAAATGTATTATTATTATTACTATTATTATTATTGACGTCTCTATTCTCAGTAGAGAAATATAAATGCATGATTGTTGTTGTTTTGTTGCTGTTGCTGTTATTTCGGATGTCCCTATTTTCATAGGAGAAATGTAAAATTATTATTATTATTATTGTTGTTGTTGTTGTTGTTGTCCCTATTTTCGTTGGAGAAACGAAAGAGTAAAATTGTTGTTGTTGTTAATGACATCCATATTTTCATAGGAAAAATGTAAAATTATTGTGGTCATTATTATTATTGACGTCTCTATTCTCAGCGGAGAAACATAAAAGCATTATTGTTCTTTGCTTGTTGTTGTTGTTATTTAGGATATGCTTATTTTCGTTGGAGAAATGTAAGATGATGAATGATGATGATGATGATGATGATGATTGTCCCTTTTCTCATTGGAGAAATATAAGAGTGGACGAATGGGCGGGATATAAATCAATTGTTTTTTTTTTTGTTAACAGGGACCCAGGCTGGCTTCCCTCAATCTGGGATTTTATTCCCTTTGGAAAAATCAGACATCTCAGCTGGTTGGAATTTTCTGAGCTTGGAAATGTACCTGTCTTGGTCATGGGAGCTAGTATAAAAATTCTCATTCTCATTCTAATAATGATATAAGTATTAATATTAATATTAATATTTGAATACTATATATAGTAAATTATATATCTGGGAACTCCAGGATGTAGGCCGGTAGATACATTCAATTAATTAAAAAGAAAAGAAAAGAATAAAAAAGAATGGCATGGCATGGCATGGCATGGCATGGCATGGCATAACATAACATAACATAACATAACATAACATAACATAACATAACATAACATAACATAACATAACATAACATAACATAACATAACAACATAACACAACATAACACAACAACAACAACAGGGGGATCCAGGAATTGAGCGGTTATATAAATTCAATTAATAATTCTATTATTATTATTGACGTCTCTATTCTCAGCAGAAAAATGTAAAAGCATGATTGTTGTTGTTTTGATGCTGTTGCTTGTTATTGTTGTTGTTATTTAGGATGTCCCTATTTTCATAGGAGAAATGTAAAATTGTTGTTGTCGTCTCAACAGAGAAATGTAAAAGCATTATTGTTATTTTGTTGTTGTTATTTAGCATATGCCTATTTTCATAGGAGAAATGTAAGACTATTATTATTATTATTATTATTATTATTATTATTATTATTAAGACTGTCCCTTTTTGTTGGAGAAATGTAAGAGTAAATTTAATAATAATAATAATAATAATAATAATAATAATAATAATAATACTCCTTCATGGATCACTGCCTTGCCATGGCGAAGGGGCTTGAATAACTCAGAGAAGCTATGAGCTATGCCGTGCAGGGCTACCCTAGATGGACAGGTCATAGTGGAGAGTTTTGACCAAACGTGATCCACCTGGAGCAGGAACTGGCAAGCCACTCCAGTATCCCTGCCAAGAAAACTCCATGGACAAAGACAACAGGCATATAAAAGTTATGACGCTGGAAGATGAGCCCCTCAGGTCGGAAGGTGTCCAACATGCTACTGGGGAAGAGCGGAGGACAAGTACAAGTAGATCCAGAGCTGATGAAGCGGCTGGGCCAAAGCCGAAAGGACGCTCAGTTGCGGATATGCATGGAAGCGAAAGGAAAGTCCAATGCTGTAAAGAAAAATATTGCATAGGAACCTGGAATGTAAGAACCATGAACCTTGGTAAGTTGGATGTGGTCAAAAATGAGATGGCAAGAATAAATATTGACATCTTGGGCATCAGTGAACTAAAATGGACGGGAATGGGCGAATTCAGTTCGGATGACTATCATATCTACTACTGTGGGCAAGAAACCCGTAAAAGAAATGGAGTGGCCCTCATAGTCAACAAAAGAGTGGTGAAAGCTGTAATGGGATGCAATCTCAAAAATGATAGAATGATCTCGATACGAATCCAAGGCAGACCTTTTAACATCACAGTAATCCAAGTTTATGCACTGGTACTGAAGTACCAGTGCATAAACATCACAGTAATCCAAGTTTATGCACTGGTACTGAAGTACATCACAGTAATCCAAGTTTATACTGGTACTGAAGAAACTGAAATTGACCAATTCTATGAAGACTTACAAGACCTTATAGAAGTGACACCAAAGAAGGATGTTCTGCTCATAATAGGGGATTGGAATGCTAAAGTAGGGAGTCAAGAGATAAAAGGAACAACTGGCAAGTTTGGCCTTGGAGTTCAAAACGAAGCAGGGCAAAGGCTAATAGAGTTCTGTCAAGAGAACAAGCTGGTCATCACAAACACGCTTTTCCAACAACACAAGAGACGACTCTACACATGGACCTCACCAGATGGGCAGCATCGAAATCAGATTGATTATATTCTCTGCAGCCAAAGATGGAGAAGCTCTATACAGTCAGCAAAAACAAGACCTGGAGCTGACTGTGGCTCAGATCATCAGCTTCTTATAGCAAAATTCAAGCTTAAACTGAAGAAAGTAGGAAAAACCACTGGGCCGGTAAGATACAATCTAAGTCAAATCCCTTATGAATACACAGTGGAAGTGAGGAACAGGTTTAAGGATTTAGATTTGGTGGACAGAGTGCCTGAAGAACTATGGATGGAGGCTCGTAACATTATACAAGAGGCAGCAACTAAAACCATCCCAATGAAAAGGAAATGCAAGAAAGCAAAGTGGCTGTCCAACGAGGCCTTACAAATAGCGGGGGAGAGAAGGCAAGCAAAATGCGAGGGAGATAGTGAAAGATACAGGAAATTGAATGCAGATTTCCAAAAAACAGCAAGGAGAGACAAGAAGGCCTTCTTAAACGAGCAATGCAAAGAAATAGAGGAAAACAATAGAATGGGAAAAACCAGAGATCTGTTCAAGAAAATTGGAGATATGAAAGGAACATTTTGTACAAAGATTTCCATAATAAAAGACAAAAGTGGAAAGGACCTAACAGAAGCAGAAGACATCAAGAAGAGGTGGCAAGAATACACAGAGGAACTATACCAGAAAGAAATTGATGTCTCGTATACCCAAGGTAGTGTGGTTGCTAACCTTGAGCCAGACATCCTGGAAAGTGAAGTCAAATGGGCCTTAGAAAGCACTGCTAATAACAAGGCCAGTGGAAGTGATAGTATTCCAGCTGAACTATTTAAAATTTTAAAAGATGATGCTGTTAAGGTGCTACATTCAATATGCCAGCAAATTTGGAAAACTCAGCAGTGGCCAGAGGATTGGAGAAGATCAGTCTACATCCCAATCCCAAAGAAGGGAAGTGCCAAAGAATGCTCCAACTACCGCACAATTGCACTCATTTCACACGCTAGCAAGGTTATGCTTAAAATTCTACAAGGAAAGCTCAAGCAGTATGTGGATCGAGAACTCCCAGAAGTGCAAGCTGGATTTAGAAGAGGCAGAGGAACCAGAAACCAAATTGCAAACATGCACTGGATTATGGAGAAAGCTAGAGAGTTCCAGAAAGACATCTACTTCTGCTTCATTGACTATGCAAAAGCCTTTGACTGTGTCGACCACAGCAAACTATGGCAGTGTTTCCCAACCTTTTTTGGGCAAAGGCACACTTGTTTCATGAAAAAAATCTCGAGGCACACCACCATTAGAAAATGTTAAAAAAATTAACTCTGTGCCTATATTGACTATATATAAACTTTTAGTTATGTAAAAAAAAATAAAAAAATAGTAACAGCATAGAAGGTAATGGTTAGGCCCTCTTCCAAATATGCTGGGTTTTTATTTGCAGGGACTGTTCTACATGGGAAAGCATTCAGCACTGTCATTCTCCCATCAGCTATCTGAATTGGTACTATTCTGGGTCAACTTACTCTGCTGCATGTGTAGATGAAAATGGCACCAAGTGTGTGTGGGGGGGCAGAACGGGTTTCAGATACAGGATATTAAGCATACACGTACTTCAGATTGAACTGGTTGCTTGCTTTGCAAGTTTTCATTTCCCAAATGACTGCCTTGGCAAGCGCAATACCTACCAGGCTCAAGGCCGGTCTCGCGCTGCCACTTCCCGCGCTCTCAAGGACCCGAGAGGAGGAAGGCGTGAAGGGAATCCCGAATACCTGGGCCTAAGCCATCCAGGGCTTTAAAACTTAATTTTGAACTGGGCTCAGAAATGAACATGAAGGCAGTGCAGCTGTTCCCTATGACTGGAAGCCAACGCACACAGTCCAGGCTCCCATCAATAGTCTGGCTGCAGCATGCCAAACACTTAGCAGTTTCAATCCTGTGTTGAGCATGCTACAGTCATCCAAACATGGCATCACTAAGGCACAAATGGCCAGATCAGCCATTTCAAGGGGCAGATGCAATGGGCACACCAACCTAACTTGCTCAGAAGCACTCCTAGCTGCAGCAACCACCTGAGCATCCAGATTTAAAACCGAGTCTAGGAGGATGGCTAACCCCATTCAAGACAGGTCGCATTCTGGTCCCTGGACTGGCCATTCAACTTGACCAGGAGCATGGAAGACCTTTGCCATCTCTGGATTGCGTTTCCATTGACTTGTCCACCCACAGACTTGTGCTGCCTCAGAGCAGATGCACAGGGAGGCAGGCACTGCCTGTTGACCTCCCCATTGAGAGCCATCAGTGGGCTTGGTGGTGGCTATGTTCCACTTCCACCTCTGAATACCAGTTAAACTCCAGTCCTGCTTGTGGGCTTCCCAGAAGAGACATCTGGTTGGCCAATGTGGTCTGAACTAGATGGGTCCCCCTTGGCCAGATCCAGCAGCAGGGAGCATTTTTAATGTTCTGAAACTGACTCTGAAAGTGGGTGCAGAGTAGGGCCATTGTGCTTAAATTAATGACCAGTGGCCTGGTCTTGGGTCTGGGGACTTCGCTGTTCCCAGGTCCCAATGGGTCAAATAGCAGGGAGCTCAGATAAGGAGCAGGTGCAGGTTTGCCCCACAACCACAAGATGGGAGAGCGGTAGAGCCAGTTTTCCTTTGCTTTGAACTAAAGGCACCCTTTATCAAAGTTCTTTTTCCTTAGGCACTGGTGTGTGTTGTCTTGAACTATACACTATTTAATATACCTATTCCAGTATGATTTTAAATAAAAATAGAAGAAGAAATAATAATGATTTTTTTAAAAAGATGACGAGATGGGCTTCCAGGCAGACTGGAGCTCCAACGGGGAGGAGACAGGAGCCTGTCCCAACAGAGCAGAGCAGAAGCAAATGTTGCCTCCCCCCGCCCTGCCGCCGCACTCAGGAGTCGGAGGATACGGAGCTGCAGTTTGGACAGCAGCAGTTTCTTCCTTGCAAGGGAGCCCCAGCGGCACTGCGGGTGCGGGTGGCCAGGATGGGGCCCCGAGCTGCTGCAGTTGCTCCCGGGGAGGGGGCTAGTCCTCCGGGCCCGGAGAAAGCCGGTGTGTTGGCGCGGGGAGGGGGGCGGTATTTCGTAGCCAGGCTCCCGCAGCCAAGTTGCTGGCAGGCGCCCACTTTGCTCCAGCCACCCAGATGCCGGTGCGGTCCTCTTCGGGGTGGGAGGCGCCCCTGCTTTGCGGTGTGGCACACCGCCCGCCCGCCCGGCTCCCTCCACCCCACTCTGCGCAGCTGAACCGGCAGCAGCTTCGCCTCTCCCTGCCCAGCCCGGGCGCGCCGCCTGCGGCAGGACCTGCGCCGGGTCCCCGCTCTCCACTCGCCTCCGCCTTTCCCTTCCCCGCCTGCCGGCCCCGCTACCTACCCACCAGGGCGACACCCAGCCAGCCCCTGGCCCCGCCGCCCGCGCCCCCGGCCATCTCCTCGCCAGCTGCAGCGCCGCAGTGGCCTCTTCTTCCGGCCCGAGCGAGCGAGCGGCGTCCCAAGTGTGGCTCTTGCTCCGCCGCTGCCTGCCCTCGCTGCCAGCCTCCACGGCTCTCTCGGGCTCCAAAAGTTGCCGCGCGCGCAACCCGCCCCCTCGAGCAGCCGCGCCTGGGAGGCTCCGAGGGGCGGAGGCAGCCGGCTCCGAGCTCGGCTTGGCGGGACCGCCTCCTCCGCAGCGAGCCCTGGACTGGACCGAGCGAGCAGAAAGCCTCTTTGCCCGGCCCGCGAGGCTGGCGAAAGTTGCGGGACTGGCCGGTAGGCAGCGCCGATGGGGCGAGTCGGTTGGGGAGCCCTGTCTGCAAGCAGGCAGGGAAGGCTGTTCGCGTGGGTCACTTTTTAGAAAGGCAGAGAGCCTCCGCCGGAGTGAAGATCCTAAAATCTGGGTCGGGACCAGTAAAAAGGACGAGAAACTCGCTTCCTCGCCCTTGATGCCAGGGGCTCCCAAGCCAGTCTCTGCAGCCATGACTGCCGGGAGCATCAGAGTGGGTGAAAGTCCTCCTCGCCGCCGCCACCCCGCCTCTCGCCGCCCGACTCGCCCGCCTCCCTCCCACGGCACACCAGGCAACGTCTCGCGGCACACTACTGTGCCGCGGAACACCGGTTGGGAAACACTGAACTATGGCAAGTTCTTAAAGAAATGGGAGTGCCTGATCACCTCATCTGTCTCCTGAGAAATCTCTATGTGGGACAAGAAGCTACAGTTAGAACTGGATATGGAACAACTGATTGGTTCAAAATTGGGAAAGGAGTACGACAAGGCTGTATATTGTCCCCCTGCTTATTTAACTTGTATGCAGAATTCATCATGCGAAAGGCTGGGCTGGATGAATCCCAAGCCGGAATTAAGATCGCCGGAAGAAATATCAACAACCTCAGATATGCAGATGACACAACCTTGATGGCAGAAAGTGAGGAGGAATTAAAGAACCTTTTAATGAGGGTGAAAGAGGAGAGCGCAAAATATGGTCTGAAGCTCAACAAGATCAAACGCATCCATTCTTAAGGAAATCAGACCTGAGTGCTCACTGGAAGGACAGATCGTGAAGTTGAGGCTCCAGTACTTTGGCCACCTCATGAGAAGAGAAGACTCCCTGGAAAAGACCCTGATGTTGGGAAAGATGGAGGGCACTAGGAGAAGGGGACGACAGAGGATGAGATGGTTGGATAGTGTTCTCGAAGCTACAAACATGAGCCTGACCAAACTGCGGGAGGCAGTGGAAGACAGGAGTGCCTGGCGTGCTCTGGTCCATGGGGTCACGAAGAGTCGGACACGACTAAACGACTAAACAACAACAACAACAACAACAACAACAACAATAATAATAATAGGGGCCCAGGCTGGCTTCCTTCAATCTGGGATTCTGGGATTTCATCCCCTCCAGAAAAATCTGACTTTCAGCTGCTTGGAATTTCCCTTGCTTGGAAACGTACCTGCCTTGGTCATGGGAGGTGGTGCGACCGGGAAAAGCGTCCTTCTGGAGTCGGCCAGTAGGTGGCAGTAACCAGAAATGAGGCCAGCAAAATTGGTGGCTTCTGGCCACTCCATCAGAAGCACCAGCGGCTGGGGAGAGAAGTAGTATTGGAATCATAAAATCATAAAATATTGATCTTTATTATTATTATTGGAATAATATGACCATACAATATTCTAGTCTATTACTATACAGTCATACCTCAGGTTGAAGTAGCTTCGGGATGAATATTTTCAGGTTGTGCTCCGCGGTGACCCGGAAGTAACAGAGCACGCGCTTCCGGGTTTCGCCACTCGCGCATGCTCAGATGCTCAAAATGACGTCATGCACATGCACGGAAATGGCAAATCGCGACACGTGCAGACACGGGTTGTGTTCGCTTCAGGATGCGAATGGGGCTCTGGAACTGTAGGAGGAGTTTGGATTTGATATCCCGCTTTATCACTACCCGAAGGAGTCTCAAAGCGGCTAACATTCTCCTTTCCCGTCCTCCCCCACAACAAACACTCTGTGAGGTGAGTGGGGCTGAGAGACTTCAGAGAAGTGTGACTAGCCCAAGGTCACCCAGCAGCTGCATGTGGAGGAGCGGAGACGCGAACCCGGTTCCCCAGATTACGAGACTACCGCTCTTAACCACTGCACCACACTGGCTCTCAATTGACTGTAGGAGTGCACATTTCCAGAGTGTGGGGATCAGATGGGATTACTACAGTGGTGCCCCGTAAGACGAATGCCTTGCAAGACGAAAAACTCGCTAGACGAAAGGGTTTTCCGTTTTTTGAGTCATTCCGCAAGACAAATTTCCCTATGGGCTTGCTTTGCAAGACGAAACATCTTGCAAGTTCTTGCGAGTTTGTTTCCTTTTTCTTAAAGCCGCTAAGCCGTTAATAGCCGCTAAGCCGCTAATAGCCGTGCTTCGCAAGACAAAAAAACCGCAAGACGAAGAGACTCGCGGAACGGATTAATTTCGTCTTGCGAGGCACCACTGTATGAGGAATTATAAAATATGCATCAAGCCATTGTGTCCGCTATGAAAGCATGGCATTGACTGGGTTAGATTCATTGACAATAATTTCTGATCAAATCCCACAAGCCTCTGCATTTCTGGCCATTTTCTCTACTGTTCATTTTCTACGCCTGACAGGCACATATCAGCATTCTAAATACACAGGCCAGTTGCTTCATCAGGCATCCTGAGCCATAAAAGATAGTAGGTAGCTTCTTTGAGGTAGTTTTTTAATCTTTAGATAGAGCTTAAGGGCCAGGAAGAGTGTTCACAAAGAGATGGTAAATACTACCCGTCTTTCCTTCCTTTATTGCTGTTTATGACCTCCAAGTTTGCTGAATGCATTCTTCCTTTTTACTTCTGTTTTATTTACCCCAGAAGTATGCATGCTTAACTTACCGTATTTTTTGCTCTATAAGACTCACTTTTTCCCTCCTAAAAAGTAGGAGGGAAAGTGCATCTTAAGATGTGTGTGCATCTTATGGAGCGAATGCAGGCTGTGCAGCTATCCCAGAAGCCAGGACAGCAAGAGGGATTCTGAGATTCAGAATATTTTTTTTCTTGTTTTCCTCCTCCAAAAACTAGGTGCGTCTTGTGGTCTGGTGCGTCTTATAGAGCGAAAAATACGGTAGTTTTGTAGTATAACTTTGTCCCCACGTGGGGTTTTTTGAAGTGCTCAGAGGAAATCTGATTGGTTCTTACGAACACTGGGTAAAAAGTTCTTTTGTGAATAAAACGACCTGGGCCGAAGTGTGGACAGGAATTGTTATTATATGCACTCCTCCCAGAGTCTTGCTGGTTGAAACCTCTGTGTGTTATTAATCAGAGTCTAGTCCTTCCTTTGCTTTGGGAACGCTACAGGAACAGATCCCATTTGCATCCAGAGGTACCACTGTATTCTTATTGTTCTCATCATAATAAAACCTGAATATTATTTAAATGAAAAATCTGATTTAAGTAATAAAAATCTAATTTAAATCAGAATATAAATTGAATCAAAAGAATCCGATATAAATTGAAATAATCAGATTTTTTTAAAAATGTGCTTTAAATTAAAATCTGATCTAAATCAAAAAATCTGATTCTTTGAATAAATTGTTTTATTTAAATAGAAAAAATGTGATTTAAATTAAAAATGTGATTTAAATAAAAATGTTATTTAAATCAAAAACCAAATTTAAAATTTAAAAATCTGATTTAAATTTTTTAAATTCAGATTTAAAATTTTGAAAATCTGATAGAAAACAAACAAACAAAGAAAATCCGAGCGACGGGATGGCCCCCAGGCGGCCCAACAGCCTGCCCACCTTTGCATCCACAATGCCGGTCTCCACCCTTGCCACACCCGGGTTCTCCCGGAAGAGTTGGACTCTGCTGATCTGGCTGAATTCGCACAGGACAGTGGTCAGGTTGGTGCGGAGGTCGATAACGTGACTCACGCCATGGCGGGGGCCCACCAGGAGGGTGGGGGCCGTGTCCTGGCCGTCCTACGAGAGAGTCAGAGTAGTCAAACTCAGACCTGGAACCCAGAATAAGGACCCGGAACCTGGAACCAGTATCCTAGCCGAACTGAACTGGAAACCAGAACCAGGAACCGGAAACCAAAACCCATAACCTGGAACCAGAATCCAGGAACTGGAAACCAAACCAGAAACTGGAACCCAGAATACAAGCCTGGAACCCAGAGCCCGGAACTGGGAACCAGAAAACAGAACCTGGCACCAGAATCTGAGCCCAGAACCTGAAACAGAAACCAAACCAGAACCCGGAAACCCTACCATCCAACGGTCTGGAAGATGACACCGGAGAAGGTGGGCAGCCGGTCGAGGAGGCGTAGGTACTGGAGCTTGGCCCGGGTAGGGGAGACCTGCAAGGAGAGAATCGGGGGCCCCCTTGGGGTCATCCAGTCTGACCCCAGGCTCAAGGCGGGGGTTAGGGACCCATCCCAGGGGTTAGGGTCCCACCTGGGCGCCGCGCCGCTGGTGCGCCTTCAGCTGTTGTGAGAGCGACCGGCGCAGGAGCTTGTCCTTGGTAGCTGGCAACAGAGAGGGAGGCAAGAAGGGCTCCAGACCCCATTCCTTCCTGGGGAGAAAAAGGAAACACACACACTCCAACTTCCTTCCTTCCTGCCTACCTTTCTCTGTTCTTCCTTCCTTCCTTCCTCCCCCTCCCTCTCTCCCTTTCTCAGTTATTCCTTCCCCATTTCCACCCTCCCTCTGTTCTTCCTTCTGTTTCCTTCCTTCGACCCTTCCTTCCTTTCTCTGTCCTTCCTTCCTTCCTTCCAAGGGTTGGTCAGGATGACCCTCAGGGTTCCCCCCGGAACTCACTCACTCGACGTTTCTGAGCGCCACCTTGTGGCTGGGACGGGTGGCTGAGACGGTGATATAGATGTGGAGCGCCGTCAGGACCAGGAGCGACTCCGGATCGGGGTCGGCACCAAACCGCTCCCGGATGACATCGTTGCGGCTCTGGAGAGGGAATTATAAGCACCGCCTAGTGGTTACCGCAAGGGACTGGGAAGCAGTGACTAGTGGTTATTGAATAGAAAGCAGCACCTAGTGGTTTGTGAGTTGTAAGCAGTCCCTAGTGGTTAGATCGAGGGACTAGGAAGACTAGTGAGCTGGAACTAGTGCTAACCCCCAGCAAAATAATAATAATAATAAATTTATACCCCACCCATTTGAGGAGCAGTGAGGACCACTAGGTGGAGCAGCTGGCTAGAAGGAAGGATTGGGACCCTCTAACCACACATTCACCCCCCCCTGCTGACCTGGATGTAGAGGTATTCGAAGGCGGCGGCGTCTCGCCGCAACAGTTCAGCAGGGTCTTTGGGGTAGAAGCTGACCCGAAAAAGGCACCGCATGCCTTGGTAGTGGGTCCGTTGAACGACCTGGGGGGAGGAAGGAGAGCTCTGGCAAGGGGGTGGGCTAGATGACCCTGGGGTCCCTTTCCCCTGTCCATCCTTGTGGGATTTGGGAGAAAGGGAGGGAGGGACGAAGGAAGGAGGGAGGGAGGGAAAGAAGGAAAGAAAGAAGGAAGGAAGGAAGGAAAGAGAGAGAGAGAGGGATGACGGAAGGAAAGAAGGTAGGAAAGAAGGACAGAGAAAGGGAGTGAGGAAAGAAGGTAGGAAGAATGGGAGGGAGGGAGGATTTGAAAGCTCTGGTGGGGGGGATTGGACTAGATGACCCCCGGCTCCCTCCTGACTCACATGGGCCAAAGGCTGCTTCTCCTGTAGGAGGAGAAACTGGTGGCTCCGCTCGGGGCTGCGGTATTCCAAGACAAGGGAAAAATGCTCAATTCGCCGCAGGGAAAGGCGATCCTGGAGGGTTGCCATCACATCCTGGGAGGGTTGAGAGAAAAGCATTTTTGGAAGAATAAGAAAAATAAATCCGTTTTTTTACAGTAAGGTTCAGCCTTGCTGGCACCCCCCTTAATAGTGACAATCAGAGGGAGGTTTCCTTTTTGGAATAATCAATTTTTACAGTTCTATCAAAAATGACTGATTTGGTTCTACTATTAGAAATACACAGACCGTTAATTATAAAATGATATTGAGGTTTAATAAGTTAACTTTTTATTTGGACAACTGTTTTGCTCTACTTTACTGGAAGGAGAAGAAGAATCATTTCCTTAATAACAATTATTTAACTCAAACAATAACATGATAGCATATGTATCCATGTTTGTTAACTGATGTTGATAAAAAAGGACTGTTTTAGCACACATTAAAAACTTAAAATAAATCCTTCTTTCCTGATGTATTAAGAATTACAATGTATCAAGAATTAAGAATGTAACTTAAATAGAATTAAATAAATAAAATAGAATGTAACTTCAATACATTCCTTTGGACTAGAATGTAACATAATGGAAAATCTCTAGAAATATTTTTCCTCTGAAAGCATTTTACAAGTCACTAACCACTAGGCGCTGCTTCCCAGCCCCTTGCTCTAATCACTAAACACTGCTTCCCTTTCTACCTTGACGGTGGTGCGGCTGTCAAAGGTGAAGGACTTGACCTGCCCGTTTTCGAGGAAAACCTTCAGGACGTTGGGGATGAGGAGGAGGGCTTCCTTCTTCAGCATCTCCTGCGGGCGGAAAAGCAGAGGCTGGCGGAATAATAATAATAATAATAATAATAATAATAATAATATAATAATAATAAAACGACTACCTGACTTTTAGAAGACATCTGAAGGTAGCCCTGTTTAGGCAAGTTTTAAGGTTTGATGTTTTATTCTGTTTTTAATCTGTTTTTAATCACCCAGCTGGATGGGCCAGGTATAAATATAAATATAAATTATTTTTATTATTATTATTATTATTATTATTATTATTATTATTATTATTATTTATTACTTATACCTCGCCCACCTGGCCGGGCCTCCCCAGTCACTCTGTGCAGCACATTAGCCATCTTTAACAAGCCCAAAGAGGCAACGGAGACATGAAGAAAGGAGACGACCACATCCCCACCCTTCCAGAACTTTCCAGAACTCACCGGCTCCGGCTCCGAGAAGCGCACTTTGGCAGGGTTGGACCTCAGCTTGGCCTTCTTCGCAGCACTGATGAAGGCCGACTTGGGCGACTGGAAGGGGAGAAGGAAAAGATGGGCCTTGTGGGAGAGGTCGGCCGCCTTCCAAAATCTCAGCCGGAAAAGCAGATTCCCGACTTGCCAGGGGGTGGGGGTTGAGATGGATGACCCCCGGGGATCTCACCTGATGGGTTTGCAGCACGGTGAAGACAGCGGACTCCTTGGCGCTTCTGTGGCAGGAAAGGAACAAAGGAGACATTTAGGGTTTCCTTGAGATTTCTGCCTCTCCAGGGAGTTGGACTGGATGACCCTCGGGGGTCCCAGCTCCCCTGCGTTGAAATTCCTCCAGAAAGAATCCATGGATTTGTAGAGGAGGCAGGAACTGCAGCTCTTAAATTTCAGAAGGGTCACCCAGTCCGACCAGCGTGTCTTGAACCCGCTTCCTCCTTCCTCACCTCACAATTTCGATGAATCTCTCCCGGGCAACATCACTCACGTCTTCGTCACCGATGACCCAGATCTGGTCCCCGGGAAAGAGTTTGTCCTCCGAGGGTCCGCCTGCCAAAGGAAGGGGCAGCTGGTGTCTGTCGGGGGGAGAGAGACCCTCAGCGTCATCTAGTCCAACCCCCTTCCAACTCGATGATCCGATGCTGAGATTTATCCCCGGAATCCTCACCTGCCACTACTGAACGCACCACCACGGGCCTCTCGCCACCGGCCACAAAGCCAAACCCTCTGTCCGGGTGGCGCCGGATCGTCACCTGTCGGAAGGCCTCGGAAGGCGGCGGTCCCCATTCCATAGCATCCCAGCTTTCCTCTGGCATTGCATCTCCAGCGGCGGGAGAAGACAGGATTCCAGGACACAGGGAGGGAAGAATCCTATCCTCGGTCTCTGTCCTAATGCACAGAATCTGGGATGCCAGCAAAGTTGAACCTTTCTGTAAAAAAGGGATTTTATTATTCCAAAAAAGGAAACCTAACCCCTATCCCTAACCCTTATCCCTAATCCCTAACCAGGGGCGTCTTACCTATAGAGACTAGTGGCATGGGGCATCAGGGAAGAGGTGGAGGCTGAATGCAGCGCCTCCCAGCATCAGCTCGCCACCCTTGCCTGCCTCCTCCAACCCCGCAGGCAGCGCTGTCCTCCCTAAAAAAAGGTGGACAACTCTGGGAAACGGGGGGGGGCACCGGAGGGAGCTTTGCACCACGGCGCTTGATATGCTTAAGATGGCCCTGCCCCTAACCCCCAACCTCATGCCTAACCCCCAACCCCTATCCCTATCCTCAACCCCTAACCCTTATCTCTTCCCTGCATTTCAGCCTTCATCAACTGCAAAGTTGGCATCGATTTGCACATTGCATTTTCGCCAACCAGGCTTTCCTGGCTTTCCTTTGCCATTTTGTAATCAACTGCAATTCAATAACTGATTGCATTTTTTATTTTATTTTTAAACCAGAACCATTTTATTTATTCGTTGGGACACAGCTTCTCCACAAAAAGGCCCCACAAATAATGCAAACGTAAATGTCCAGTCAAGGCACCACCTCTTTTAACATTCACAATAGAGCTCAAAATATTGCTTTTTAAAATTATAATTCATCGCATTTCAGCTGCTGTTTGCAGTTGGCCTTCAGATCCAGGAAAATCCAGCAGCAGCAGGGCCTGATCCTGTCTCAGAGGAGGAGAACCCTACTCACAGTGGGTGGGAGAGATGCCCACTGGCCATGTCACCTCCTCCTTTTCTCCTGCCAGAAAGAGGGGGGGGGGATGGAGGGGGAGGGAAGAATTCAGCAGATCAAGAATATGAAAGGAATTGGCTGCTGGCCTGGTCCCAGAGAAAGGGATGGGGAGAGAGAGAGAGAGGAGAGGGAGAGAGAGAAGAGAGGGAGAGAGGAAGGGAGATTTGAGAGAGGAATGGAGAGGCAGAGAAAGAAAGGGGAGAGAGAGAGAGAGAGAGAGAGAGAGAGAGAGAGAGAGAGAGAGAGAAAGGAGATGGAGATTAAGGGTAAGGGGAGATGGGGAAGAGAGGAAGGAAGGGGGGAGAGAGATGCGACACTGGAGGGAGAGGAGAAAGAAAGAGAGGAGAAGGGGGGGGGAATGGGGAAGAGAAAGGAGTCCAGGGAGGGGGAGGGAGGGAAAGAGAAAAAGAGGTGGGGGGAAAGAGAGATAGAGGAAGGGAGATTTGAGAGAGGAATGGAGAGAAAGAAGGAGAGAAAGAAAGAAAGAGAGGAGAGAGACGGGGAAGGTGAGAAAGAGAAGGAGGCCTGAGATTCATCCGGCATCGGCATGACCTGTTTTTGACATCCTAATAATAGTAATAATAATACAGTAATAATAATAGGCGTTCCTCTGACCCACCAAGTTTGTAACTCCATCCAAAGAAGCCTTGGCGGTCCCTTCCCGCCCTATTATTATTCTCCTCTTCTCTCCTTCCCCCCATCTCTCTTCTCCTCCTCTCATTTCGTCGTTCTCTCCTTTGATACCTTCCTCTCCTTCCTCGGTGGTCGGGTGGTTGGATGGAGATTCTTGGAAACGGACCATTCGCGGCGGCAGGGATCTCAAGAGAGAAGCCTGGAATCCAGTGAGGTGACATTCGTGGTTCCCCCAAACCTTTTCACACGTGCTACGACCAGCGGGTCAGACTGGATGACCCTCAGGTACCTTCCCATCCGAACCTTCCATTCGCCAGGCAATCACTGGTGCCGGGGAAAGGATCGAAATGGACTTACCCGCTTGGTGTGTGTGTAAAGAGGACTTTGGGGAGGAATCCTGTCCCCCATCTGTCCCAATGGGGGTCCCCCACGCCCCACATTCGCCCCACAACCGTCGCCATCCGTAGCCTCCCAAAAGCACGAGGCGAGATGGGGCGCCGGGGCCGTTGCATCCCCCTTTGTGAAAGCGGGGTGGGGAACCAAAGGGATTTGCCCGCCTGGGGGGGGCACATACCCTCCAAACTGCCCCCTTCGTAGCCTCCCAAGTGTATGCTTTGGGCTACGGGGCCGCCCATCTTTCGAGAAAAGAGGGGCAGGAAGAGGGAGGGAGCCGTTTGGGGGGGGCATTAGGAGAACTTGGGGGCCCCTCCACCTGATCCGTCGGGAACCCCAAAACCAGAAGGGGAGGGCGCATACCTCGGGCGCAAGCAGACCCCCTCCCTAGTTGTGGTTTTTTTATGGGGGTCGCGGGCCTTACCGGGACTCCCTGCGGCCCCCCGAAATCGGGCCGGGAAGACGGCGGGGGGGGGGGCAGCTCCGGCCGCGCCTGCGCACTCGCAGCGCTCGTCGTCACTGCAGTACACGGGAAGGGAGGGGGGAAGCGAAGAGGAGAGGGGCGCCCCAAAAGTCATCCAGACTGACCCCCCCGCGAGGCGGGAAACGGAGCGCAGGATCCTAGAATGGGGGAGCTAGAAGAGAGCCCTAAAAGTAATCCAGTCTGACCCCCCTACAATGCAGGGATCTAGAATGGGGGACCCAGAAGGGAGCCTCAAAAGTCATCCAGTCTGACCCCCCCGGTTGTATATAGATTCTAATAATAATACTGTAATAAGATTATGATGAGATTCCTGCCTTGCTTGGGGGGGGGTCAAACTAGATGAAACCGGATCTAGTCCGGCTGTCAGATTTTCCCCCTATACATCTTTTGGGGAGGCGGCGGCGGGTGGAAATGGGAGGTTTCGGGCCTCGCCAGAATGGAGCAAAGCATTGTGGGAGAATCCCTGGAATGCGGGGTTGCTTAGCAACTGACCACCGAGGCAGCAGAGGATGCTCTTTTTTCCCCGTCTGGAGGAACATACTGTAGGGGAATTGGAGAAGCGAAGAGAAAATCCTAGAAGGGCCAGGCTGGAAGGGGATCCCAGGGGTCATCCAGTCGGACCCCGAGCAAGGCATGAACCTCATGAGAGATTAATAATAATAATAATAATATACCACCCCATACCCGGGAAATAACCCTAGAATGACGGAGGCGGAAGCGGGTCAGACTAGATGACCCCATCGACCCTTTTCTCCTCTCTCTGTACTCTCTCTCTCTTCCCCACTCTTTCTCTCGTCTCCACTCATCTGTCTCTTTCCCCATCCCTCTCTTCTCTCTCTCTCTCTTTTCATTTTCTCCTTCCTTTCTTTTCTTTCTTCTCCTTTCTTTCTTTTCTTTCTTTTTCTCTCTCTCTTTTCTTTCTTTCTTTCTTTCTTTCTTTCTTTCTTTCTTTCTTTCTTTCTTTCTTTCTTTCTCCTCTCTATTTTTTCTCTCTTCCCCTCCTCTCTTTTTCTCCTCTCTTTCTTTCTCCTTCCCTCTTTCCTCCATCCCTCTCTTCTCTCTCTTCCCTTCCTTCCTTTCTCTTCTCTTCCTTTCTCCTCCTCTCTCTTTCCCCATCCCTCTCTTCTCCCTCATCTCTCACTCTCATTCTCCTCTTTTTTTCTCGTCTCCCTCCCTCTCTTCCCCCCTTCTCTTTCTGTCTCCCCGCCCCCCCTTTCTGCGCTTTGAGGGCGATTTCCCTTTATTTTGTAGAAAAAAATGCTTTTTTCTTCCGGATTCTCATTTCCTTTATTTTTGGGGTTCTCCCCCCCAAAAACTGCTCTTCCTATCACGTGATTCCTTCTCCCTCCCTCCCTCCCTCCCTCCTCCTCTCGGAAAGGCGGAGCGCGGAGCATCCTCTGCAGCGGCCGCCGGGCCAAACAGAGGCGAGGGCCTCCCTGCGCCCCCCCCCGGAGCGGATCCCACCCCCTCCCCGGCGCCCCCCGAGCGCGGATTTCGAGGCCTGCGCGCCCTTCCCCCCGAAAACGCGCATTTTTACGCATCCAGACAGATCCGGCGGCGACCCCCGCCCTACGCCACCCTCCAGGAGCGCATCGTCCACCGGCGCCCCCCTAGTGCGGGTATTTGTGCCCCCTCCCAAAAGGCATCGGGACCCCCCTGCGGATTGGGCCCGAGTGAGGATTTCGCGGCCTGGCTGCGCCCGGCGAGAGCGCATTTCGCCGCCGGAGGGATCCAAGGATCCGGCCTCGTCCTGCTCCACTCCTCCCCCCGAGACCGGATTCCACCTTTTCCCGGAGGTCGGCGCATTTCCCGCTCTACAGCCTTCGGGAGCGCAACTTCCACTTTGTCGGATCCGTCCGTGGTCCCGTCAATCTCGCCTGCACCCCCCCCCACCCTGAAAGCGCATTTTCCCACGCTACGCGCAGACTCTCCTCCTGCAAAGGCGCATCTCCTCTCCAAAGGCGGGATCCTCTTCTTGGCGCATTTCCACGTCGGCGCGCAGCTTCTCCTCCTCGGATCCGGCCCCGGTCCCGCCATCCTCGCCTGCACCCCCCGAAGGCGCATTTCCCACGTTGCGCACAGATTCCATTGAGGGTCTGTCCTCCTCCAAAAGCAGGACCCTCGGGCGGCTTCTCCTGGGCGCATTTCCACGTTGGCGCGCAGCTTCTCCTCCTCGGATCCGTCCCTGGTCCCATCGTCCTCGCCTGCGCATTTCCCACCTTTGGGCGCCTTTCCCCCCAGCGCATCCTTCCCGTGGGCCGGAGCGTCTCCATTCGCGGCCTGCGGCCCCGACAGCGCATTTCCCGCCTTTGGGCGCGCAGCCTTTCCTCGCATCAGTCCTTCCCGTTGGTCTGCGCGCCCGCCCATCCTCGCCTGCGCGCCCGACGGCGCATTTTCCTTCTGACCGTCTCCAAAAAGCGCATTTTCTGCATTTGGGCTTAGCCTTTCTTCGTCTGTTCAGACAGTCTCCGCCAGCGGCCGATCCTCGCCTGCGACCCCCAAAGCGCATCTCCCTCCGTTGGCGCGCAGCCTTTCCTCGTCTCCACGCTCAAGAGCGCATCACTCCTCTTGGCCAGAGACTCTCTGCCGGCGGCCCACCCTCGCCTGCGCCCTCCAAAGCGCATCTCCCTCGTTGGCGCGCAGACTTTCCCTGTCTTCGCGCTCAAGAGCGCATCAATCCTGTTGGCCGATTCTCGCCTGCGCCCCCCAAAGCGCATTCCCCATATTGAGCGCAGCGTCCCCGATTGCGGCCTCTGGAGCGCAACTTCCGCGTCCCGCCGCCGTCTCCCAAAGCGCCTTTTCCACGTGCGCCCGCTCGCCGGAGACTCCGTTGGCTCTTCTCCGCCGCCACCCTGCGCGCAACTGGAGCGCATTTCTTCTCCCGTCCGTTTTGCGCCATGGCGAGGCTGCCGGGAGGAGCCTTTTCCAGCGCCTGCTGAGCGCCACTCTTCGATTCGGATTTCCATTCCCTTCAGGTGAACCGGCCGGCCCCACCGCTGCCCCCATTTGGGGGTGCTGCCCCCCACTCCACCCCGACCTCCCACCCCTCGGAAATGCGGGGACTGCGCGACGGCGCAGGGGTTGCGCTGTGTCTCCTCCTCTGCTGCTGCTGCTGGGCGCACAGGTAGGTTGGGGGGCTCACCTGGGGGTTTTGGAGGGCGGAAACGTAGCAGGGTTCTCCCTTGGGGTTTTGGGGCGGTGGACAGGGAGTGGTGGGCTCCCTTGGGGGGTGGGGGGGGCTGTCGGGTAGCGGAGGACTTACCTGTGGGTTTTTTTAGGGGGTGGACAGGCAGCAGGGCCCCCCTGGGGTTTTTGGGGGGTGGACAGGTAGCGGGAGTTTCCCTAGGGATTTGGGGGGCAGACAGGTAGTGGGGGTTCACCTGTGGGGTTTTTAGTGGGCACACAGGTAGGTTAACCTGTGGGGGTCACCTGGGTTTTTTTAGGGGGTGCACAGGTAGGCTAACCTGCAAGGGGGGGTTCTGGGGTCCCCTAGCTGCCCCTCACACAGAATAGGGGAGAGACCCCTCCAATTGCCACAAAAAGCATGATGCCCCCATATTTCAACCCCCCCAATTTACATGAAATTCATATAATATTGGGGTTCCCAGCTGGAATTCAGGGGGGCAAGTTTAAAGGAGGCCGTGAGAAGCATGATGCATGAAGCATGATGCCCAATATCTCAAATGCCCCAAATCTATATGAACCCCACAATATTTTATTCCAGCTAGACACCCCAATAGAATATATGATGGGCCCCGCCAAGTTTATTGGGGCTCCCAATATCTTCTCCCAAAATTTCATTCCAGCTGGGAACCCCAATGTGGGACCCTCCATGTTTTAAACCAGCTGGGCACCCCAATATACAAAGGACCCCCAAATGTATAGGGTGCCATATGGGGTGGGGCTCAATGGGGACCCCCCAAAATTTTATCTCAACTGCTTTGAGGACCAACCATGGTCTTCTCCTGTTTTGCAGCCCCTCCACTGGCAACATATCGGTGGTCAAGGACATTGTGGACAAGCTCCTCAAAGGCTATGATGTCCGCCTGCGGCCCGATTTTGGAGGTAAGGCAGTGTAGCCTAAAGGTTAGAGCATGAATCCAATCGATAATAAATCAGGTAATCAATAAGACGCCGGGTCATAAATAAATAAATGATTACCTATTATCCACTTTTATTATTTTATTATTAATCTATGGTTCGGTTTTATTTCGGAGGTAAGGCAACGCCACCTAAAAGAGCATAAATCTAATCGATAATAAATTAGATAATTAATCATAAATAATAAGTTAGGGCATAAATGAATAAATGA